GTTGTATAAATATACCACATCTTCTTTATCCAGTCATCTGTTGATAGACACTTAGGCTGTTTCCATGTCTTGGCTATTGTAAATAGTGCTGCTATGAACACTGGGGTGCAGGTAACATTTTGAATTTTTTGACAGCAGCACCCAAAAAAATTCAAATACTTTAACTTGCATTGAGACTTCTTACAATGAGGCATCTACCTATCTTTCTAGCTTCATCTCCTGCCATGCCCCCAAATATAGCCTACCACTTAACACCACATACTCCTCAATTATTTGGGTGCGTTGGACATTGCTGAGACACCGTCCCAATCTGCCTGTTCAAGCTACTCCCTTTGCCGAGAGCGCCATTCTCCTACCACTCCATGGAACAAAGCCTGATTTGTGCTTCAGTAGTCACTTCAAAAACATCACTATCTTAAAAAAAGAATGAAATAATGCTGTTTGCAGCAACATGGATGGACCTAGAGATTATCATACTAAGTCAGACAGAGAAATACAAATATCATATATCATTTATATGCAGAATCTAAATGACACAGATGAATTTATTTACAAAACAGAAACAGACTCATTGACCTAGAAAACAAACTTAGTTACCAAAAGAGAAAGGCGGGGAGGGATAAATTAGGAGTTTGGGATTTGCAGATACTAACTACTATATATAAAATAGATAAACAACAGGTCCCACTGTACAGCCCAAGGAACAATATTCAATATCCTACAACAACCTGTAATGAAAAAGAATCTGAAAAAGAAAATGTATATGTATAACTGAATCACTATGCTGTGAACCAGAAACCAACACACTGTAAATCAACTATACTTCAACAAAAAAAGTAAAAATCACTATCTTTATCAAGTATTTCTTATCCACATATTCAACCTTTCCCTCTCTTCTATACTTCCATGTAATTATAATAGTTAATATGAATCTAGTGCTAAGAGCTTGACATGTATTCTCATTTAATCCTCAAAACAATCCCTTGGGTAGGTGTTACGCCCAATTTACCAATGGGATAACTGATTTTCCTAAATCACCAAGTTAGTAAATACAGTCAGTAACGTCTCTACAGTCTGACCCTTGTGGAGCTCATCTTCTTTACCACCACCTTTTTCTGCCTCATCTTAAAATCTCTTCAAAAAGATACCCAACCTCTTATTATAATTGGGAAAAAGAGTATAAATCTTAAGCGCAGAGCAGAGCCCTGGTCATCCACATCTGTCTCCTGATCACAAGGTTAGGTGTTCAATAAGTATAGCTTCAATGAATGAACTAAATAATGGAATAGCACTCTTAGAATAAGCCCATGTTCTTTACCCAAGAGTATCCTGGTCTGATTTTCAACAATTCATTCAGGCCTTTATTGTACTTAACACTTTGACCTGTTATCAAAGGCTTCAGGAAATAAAATACAGGGTATCTCATTACCTAATGGGATCTTAGTTTTGGCTGCAAATAAAACTCAAGATGAATAATTGGCTGATGACTTGAAATGCTGAATCATAAAATTGTTGTTAAATAACAAATCACAGATTTTGAAAAAGAATTAACACATCCCTCGCTTGGGTTTGCCTTCAGCATCACTTATATTCTTAGTCAGAATTTCAGGGAACCACTCTAAAATTCCCTCCAAAAGCTTCCCTAACATTACCTTCTGTCTTATTTCATTTTTGCTGCAATATACTTTGCACATCCAGACGTGCAAAGGTGCAAGTGGTGCAAAAAAACAAGTTGGTAACTGTTAAGAAACTTTCGTTTTTCACGAGAAACTGATGGAAGGGGAGGAAAGGCCAGGCATGTAAACATTCAATAAAATCCTGACTAATGAGTAAATCCAAACAAAACAAGCAAAGCAATTTGTGGCTGAGATAGGTGCTGGCCTGCAAGCGGGGAAGTGGGTGGCAGCCAACATGAAGGAGAGTGTTCACTTTCTGGCAGACACTTGGGGTGGACAAGAATTACCCTAAAACAGAGTAAGATATTATCCCTTTTAATAAGCACTTACTCTAGGTCAAACAACGCACCGTGCCCGTCGTTTCAGCCCCAGGACAGGTGTTACCATTTTGCCCATTTCACAGGTCAGGAGGCAGGCTAAGATTAAACGACTTGCCCAAAGGAACTCTGCTACTACATGGCAGAACCGAGAATTCAAAACCAGGCAGTCTGATTTCAAAACATGAACTCCGGAACCCGAAAGAGCACCACCTGTCCGGCCCCAGCGTAGCCCCAGGGCGGTAACAGGACACGCGTGGGCGCTTTAGCGTTTCCCCATCTCGCGGGTTGGGCAGGACAGGCATCAAGAATTAGGAAAAGAGGCCAGGGGAGGCTGAGAGACTGACACGAGGTCACACAGAGTTTCTGCCCAGGCGGGAAGCGGACCCCCGAATCCCTCGGGACCACTGTGAGTGCCTAAACTTCCGAACCCACCAGCACCGAGACGGCGGTGGCCAGACCGCAGAGGTCAGGCCTACGCGCAGGCCCGCAAGGCCCAGGACGCCAGCCGCGGGGCTAAGACCAAAGTCAGGCCGTCGTATGTGTCCAGCGTTCCGTCAAGGGCCTTACCGGGTCTCCAGAACTTGACCGGTCCCACGGGCGCAGCCATGCTGGGGTGAAAGGTCACGAGGAAAGCTCCACCCCCTCCGTCGCGCACGAGCCCCTGGAGGGGCGGTGGGCGTGGCCCGCGAGGAGCCTGGGCGCAGGAGGTTTCGCGGTGTTACAGCCACGCCCCCGTGGCCACCGCCCCCTCCGAGCCACGTGACCTGCGTTCCAGCCCCGCCCCCAGGCGTATGTGACCCGCCCGGCTCGCCCGGCCATATTGAAAAGAAGAGCGCGTTTCTTCTCCTCTTTAGGGTGGCGGTTCTGGTGCCAGCTGGCCTTCCTAGGAGCGTGGCGTGGCCCGCATGGCGCCCGCACACCTCCGGAAGGGCGAGCTTTGGGACGGGGCCGCTTGCACGAGGACTTGCCGCGGTCAGAGGCACGCGGTGGACAGGGGGCGTGCATGCCAAACTGCTGTTACAAGCTGTCACAGCTGTTTCTTTTAGTCACCTCTAGATTTTCAAATTGGAGGTTAATGAAAGTAACTTCCTCGTGGGTTTGCTGGCTCAGTAGGTATTTATTGGGCGCCTCCTACACCCAGGTACTGCAGTTTCAACCTCTTCACGGAGCTTCTATCCAAGCGGCGGCGGAGGGGCACGGGGATGATAGTAAATGAATAAATGCTCGATAAAAAGCAGTGTTTGTTATTATTAGTAAATAAGACAATGGAAACGGTATGGAAGTCTTCAGGGGCCTTGAGAGATGCTGAAAAGGCGGATGGGGAATGGGTTAAAACAAGAGACTTAGAAACGAGTAGATCTGTTAGACTAGGGCACTAGCCCAATGTTTTCTCCAGTTTGGCTAACTCATGATTCAAATACTTGTTAAAAATACAGATGCTAGACCCTAATCCAATCCCGAGTCAGAATCTCCAGGGGCATGACCTGGGAACCTGCATTTTAAGAAGCTCCACAGATGTTTCTTTCCAGCAGCTAGCTTGAGAAAGATTCTACTAATCCAAAGGAAAGCTGATGAGAGCTAATAAGCTCAAGTAGAAATGTTTAGTGGGTAGGCAACTAATTGGGAGGAAATGAGAGGCTTCAGAATCTATGCATTTTAGAGCTGGGAAGAAAATTCTGCATTCTTTGAGAGAAATGGCATAGTCCTGAAAAGATGAAGGGCTTTGGAGACAAGGAGACATGATTTGGAATCCCAGCTTTGCCATTTCCTAGCTCCTAGCTGTCATCTAATCTTAGTTGTAAAATGAGGTTTAAAAGTTTGGATTAAATGAAATAACATGTAAAGTAGGAACACAGTGTAAGACATAATAGGCATTCAGTCAACTTTAGCTCTCAATAATTCAAATAGAACAAATCAACCGTGAGAAAAAAATAAGAATTTACATACATACATTCATTTCCAAATATCCCCTTTGATTATTTTCATAATAGTGAAAATAGGGTTCCATACATGAGAATCTCTGTGTAGAATTCTCCATCCATCGTTTAAAATATCCTTCTAAGAGTCAGCTCTAAGAAGACACCTCTAAATTCCCTATCCAACTTAAGCATTCTCCCTCTGCAGACTCAGAACCTGTGTCCCCACTTTTGTGGTAACACTTACTTAGTTGAACTACCTAGTTAAGCTGCCTCCACTATTACACTGGGAGCATCCTGAGGACAAGGAGCATGTCATATTCATATTACAGTCCAATAACAAAGTGCCTATTGAGTAATGACATATGTGAACACCATGCTTTATACTTAGCTTTATTTCTTAAAACAAGGAAGGATCAATGTCATAATTTTTGTCTGATTTTCACTAAGGACCCATGTATACAAAACAGGGTTTATACATAAATACAAGGGAAAATGAAATCACTGCCACTTTTTATGATTTCTTTTTTTTATAAATTACTCTATCACTTACATGAAGAAGACTTCTTATTTACAAAGAGACAGTATAGTGGCTGTGCCCAAATCACTAGATCATAATCTTAAAGCTGGAGGAGACTTTAGTCAACATTTAGTCTAAATTCTTTGTTTCATAGAAGGAAAAACCTATGGTCCATGGAAGTTAAAAGGATTTGGTCAGAATCAATGAGCTAATTTAGTATCAGAACTGAAACTAGAATTTAAGCTTTCTGCTTCCCAAACCATTAGAGCTTAGCTCTCCTAGATGAGAATTAGTTCATCTGCCTCAGAAAGTTCTGAGTCCAACTGTCTCTGATGGGTCGTTTTCCTTTCAAAGACTTCTATTAGAGAAAATACCTAAGAAATTACTTAGATGTTGATGGTGTGGTTTTATTGCCGCAGACTAGGAATGGTCTCAATAGAGTATCTTATCTTTCCTAATTAACTATTTTAAGAAAGAATGGCCTAAAATAACTACTCTAAAAATTAAAACACTATTTCTTGAAATAGCATCCAGAAGTTATTTAGTTCACTGCCAACAATTCCATGAAAGTTTGATCATTTTGTTACATAGGCATACATTTCACAACTTCCAAATGGTAATAGATTCTCCACAAGATATTCCTCAAAATTTTCCATAGACACATTATAGAAGTTTGTCTTTGTTTATGGCGGTGGTTAACTGGTACTTTCTGCTTTGAAATATTTCCAGCCCAACCATCTTGGCCATGTTTAGGAGGCATAGGACTTAGGACTTTTATCTTTGTTCCAGTTAAGGCTTTTATGTAATAAGTAGTGGAAAACCCAATCCATTGTCTCTTAAGCAGAAATGGCTCATATAATCTAAAAAGTCCAAGAATAGTTCTGATTTGAGACACAGCTGCATTGGGACACATAGGACATAATCAGGGCTTGCTTCTGATCATAACATTCTGCATTCTACAGACCCAGCTGTCACATGCTACCTAGTGGCCATGTCAGCTCAGCCACCACATCCTCTAGGCATCAAGGCTCTTTCCAAAAAATTCCTGGCAAAAGTACCTGACTGGCTATATGTCCATCCCTGAATCACTCACTAGGGTCAGGGAATATTGGTGTACCGACTGGCTTAAACCTAGGTCACACACTCCATCCTAAGTCAGGTGTGGTCAGCGTCATCAGGACCACATGGACGGAGAACTGGGAACAGAATGGTTTCTCAGAAGGATTTCTGAGAGTGAGATTATCAGAGGTTGAATGAAGAAAAAATAATAGATCTCCATTATACCATGTATTCATGTGCTAGAACTTTCAGCTTCCTTAGAAAAATCCTGACTGCCCCTGGGTCTCCTCCATGAAGCCAGGTTCGAAAGCACTATGCCCCAGCCTGAAATGTGGTAGTTCTTTGCAGAATTGCCTTTCCTGAATTGTACTCCACTGGGATTTTCCACTGGGTCTAAGGTGCAGCCCTCTGCAACTTGTAACACATGTAAACCTGTCCAGTTTGTTCATTCATATGCAAATGATCGGGTTCACCCAGGTATTAGCATAAGCAAGTGTTCACTTAGCTCCAAGGATTTGGGTACAGAGGTGGAGAGAGAACCACTAGGAAAGAGACTCAGCTAGCTACTAGGGGAGTCTGTCATGTCAGCCTGAGGGACACTGTGCATCTGTGGAACTGGATGAACCGGGGGAGGGCCTCCTCAGATCTGTCAGGTGCTTTCTGGATAGGATGACTGTATGCTTTATTGTTGAAACTGGGACACCGCAGAGAACGAAGGGTGGAATTCACAGGCATAAACTGGACCTCTGCCAGGCAAACTAGGGTATATTTCTAGGTGTCCGGTACCAGTGAACCTAGAATAACAATGCTTACATGAACATACTCAACCTAAGGTACATACTCCATGCTCATGAAATACGTCTGAATACATTCAACTCATTTATACCTTTAAACATCTGCCCTTGTGGAGCCCGGAGTTTGGGCACATCCCGGAACATCTGTCAAGGTGTTTATTATCATGATGGTATTCTCAGAACACTTCACAGTACCATTTTTATAAGAGGATCCCTGTGAGAAATTCTTACCTGATCTTAGTACCAAGAATTGCTCTTCCTGTTCCTGGATTTACTTTAATGGACATTGTGGATGGTAGATCTGACCAGGTTTCTTTCTGCCTCAGCTACTGAGAAGCTTAAAGTGTGCCTGCCCGTAGGAAGTGTGTTGGTCACGGTGACATGTACTGAGAGCCTCCTTCCTGACCCCTTTTTGTATCCCCACCTCGGGTTTCTTTCATGTAAATGTCCACGTGCACCATCTTGTACCCTAGGTTTTCTTGTCAGTTGCTTTAAGTGCCGTTAAGTAAAAGATAGATACTCCCCAACCCAACTGCCTGCAGAGGTGGGGTGGCTCCTTCAGCTTTTCAAGAGAATGTCGACCCTGCAATCTGATTGGATTGACCTTGAAATTGTATGGATCTTTAATTCAAATAAGTCAGGGAGAAAATCATGAGATGGCTGAGTCTGAACACTATTTGATGATATTGAGAAATTTTTATCAAAGTTGTTTAGGTGTGATCAAAGCATTGTAGGTTTTTTTTTAATCTTTTAGAGATATATAATTGAAATATTTACATTCAAATCTGACATTAGACAGATAAGGAGATATAATTCTCTCCCAGGGAGGGGCAACAAATATTTTTGAACCAAACAGTCTGCCATACTCAGCCTCCCCTCCGCTGGAAGTTGGGGCCAGTAAGTCAGCATTTTAAACAAGGACCCCAGCTGACTCTGAAGCAGGTGGCCCTCAGATCTGACCTTGAGAAAATCCATCCTATAATAATATTTTTTCCACACTCAAACGCCAGAAAAGCTTTGCTTACTCTAAGAGACCAGGCCATTTTCTTAGGATTCCATATACCTCTTGTTCTTACTTCTAATCTCTGGCAACACTTTCAGAGAACAATGGTTTTGCATCCTGTTCCACAAAAAGGACGCTGTAATCAGGTAAGTTTGTGGGAGGCCATGTACCTGCCCTCCTCTGAGAAAGTCACAGTGATAATAACCTCATTCAAAAGTCTGAGTAGTCCTGCAGTAAAGAATCCTGTTTAAATTTATTTGATGCATCATTTTCCAAACTAAACGGCAGAGCCTTTTTTAATGAATGCCTATTAATAGTTGCGTAGAACACATTGAGTTGAAATTTCAAACCTACCTACATTTGTTAATGAGCTCAAGTTTTAATTAAGTTTTCAACTCACCATTGCATTAACTGCCATTTCTCAGGGCACATCCTCTAATGCCTCCATACTTCCTGTCAAGAAGCAGTCACATCAAACTGTACTGAACTGAGAATCTGAGAATCTGAAAACCTGTCTTTAAATGCTTGTCTTGCCATTTTTCAATCACATGGCCTTGAATATGCTACTTAATCTGAGCTTCAGTTCCTTCACTTGAAAATTGGGAATAACAGCTGTCCAACCACTGCATTGTTATGAGGGTCAAAGACAGCACAAAGGGAATTATCTAAGTCTAAGTGGATTCAAAGAACAGTATGTTTATGTGAGGCTTGGGCCACAGTTGTTTACAGCCAGACATGAAACCAGCTGTCCGTTCTGCTTCCCAGCCCAGAATATGACACTAAACCAGCCAGTAATCTGGTGACCATAAGGGAATCCCAGTGCACACATGGAAACCTGCAGGCGTGCTCAGGATCTAGGCACATCAGAATCTGCGCATGTGGCAGACAACACCCTCCCCCCTCCCCTATTTTAGATCTTTTTTGCTCTTGTCGGTTCAGGAGAAGGAGGAAACCATCACCTAACTCTCTTCCTTTTGTCTGTCCACAGAAAGGAGACTGGACAAAAACAGGATTCCACAGGCATACCAATCCTGCTTAGCAGGGTGTAGAAACCAGTTGCATTGCCTGCCACTGGACTAGGAATCTGGAATAATTGTCAGTGTCCTCTTTGGCCCCTGCTCCAGGATATTAGATTGCTAAATCACTGTCAATACACCCATCTGATGAAATTACGCCCGTGGGGCCACTAGAGTTACTACCAGGGATAAATCCAGGAATGCACGCTGAGGCTTTCTATGGCAGAGCACAGAACTCAGGTCCTCGTCTGAATAGCTCAAGCTGCTTCTTTGAAAAAGACAAGCTGGAGCACACGAAAAGAACCGTGAGGTCTGGTAGGTTTCCTCATCCAAACTACGGAGCTAGTGACATCCATACTCCTGTCACTAAGGAAGGTATCACCCTATGTGTTCTAACTTTTAAGTGGATATTTTCTCTTTTATAATTTGGATCATCTACTTCTCCACCCTAACACTGCTAAAAACAAAAAACCCTGCATAACTATGTATTAGGTGCATTTACTTGTGGCACACTCCTAGAGTTAAACAGAAAAGTGCAAGAGAGAAAAGTGAACAGACAAAAAAACCAGGAGCCATCACCAAACAAGCGTTGTTTACAACTATTTAATGCTAAGAACAGATATTCTAAAGGAGAGACAGACACTTAAGAAACAGTTTTAAGTTTTTTCTAATTAGGATTTGATCATAAAAACAAGTGATTCAAACCTCTAAAACAGAAGAGTACACATATCTAGAAAAATGCAAAACATATTTTCTCTCTTACCTGAATTGTCTGAGAACCCCGAAACATTCTCTTGAAAGGAAATCAATAATAAAATAGTGCAAAAAACCTGTACCCATAGTGTTTAAATATAAAACCAATACCTGGTTTATACATGATTAAAAATAAAATAAAACTAAAGCACATACAGTAATGAGCAGTTTCTAGAATTCAAAGACAGAGTGAAAGAAAGGCAATTAGGGACAGGAGACATCGTGTAAAGCAGGATGCTCTGACGTCGTCTACTCCAAGCCGGAGGCTGTGCATGCGCAGAGCAGTCACTGGTAGGAGGGATAAAGTGTGATATCTCTGACCGCCAGCAAATGAGCTGATGATCTGGTGAAACTCCCAGAACCAAAGCCGAGGTAGTTTTCAGTAAGGAATGTTCTCCTTGAGAGCATAGCCAGCATGTGGTTGAGCCGGGACCTGATTCCAGCCAAGTGAAACTGCCGCTCTTTGTTCAAGTTTCTGAATGAGTCTCTAAAGCACAGATCCAAGCGGGGGGTGCTCCAAAACGTAGGGTGCCCGGGTGTGATGAGGTCGGTGGCTCGGAGAGAAGTCTGGGAGCTAATGGAGCTGGCCACAGAGCCTTGGGAGGACAGAGAGGAGGAAGACCGCAAACTGGAAGATCTTGACACAGACATCCTTGATACTGGTGACCCTTCTTTCGACTGGGTTCCCTGAGAGAAGAGAAGGTTCTCATCCGTGTCGGTCTGGGTGGTGGCCGACGTGGACTGGACCTCGGTTTGGGAGCTCACCACCCTGGTGGTGACTGTGGTCTGGGTGCCAGCACATGCAGTGGCAGTGCCGGTTTGTGTCCCTGCATCATTCACACTCACAGCCAGAGTCTCCTCTCCTGGCTCCGTCTGCGTGGCAGCATCGGTCGCCTTCCCACTCTCTGGTCTGTCCCTGCGGCTGCCGAGGTAGTCTTCCTCACTGATGGTGGAGGAGCCGGAGTCCCCATGCCTGGCCTCTGCCCGGCCCTCTGCGCAGCCCGGCTCAGCCTTCTTGGGGGTGCTCGAGAGCCTGGCCAGCCGTAGCCGCAGCAGGTTGCCCAGCGTGAGCTCCTTGGACAGTGGTTTCTGGTCGACAAGATGGTCAAACTTGCCACTGCTTCGGAAGTTGGACAGGAGTTTGGAGCTGATGGGCTTTGACTGTGCATACAGGATTCGGAACTCCAGATCAAAGTGCTCCACCACTTGGCCAGACAGAATGACCAAGTTACTGCTGTTTAATTTGCCATCCGTCCATGTAAAACTTCAGGATTAAAAACAAAACAAACAGAAGCTGGTAAGGATGAGCAATCTTCAGGTATTTATTGTCGATCTGAATATAAAGCCCAGATATTCTGTGGCATAAAGGTCACAATTCCAGTGACAGACAGCACACTGACCATTTGGTGTGAATTCAGCCAGCCTTAGCACAGTATATAGCGTAGGGATGCATTAACAGAAAACGTTAAAAAGCCACTGTTTAACCAACACGCTGAAACCTACACACCTCAGCCGCAGAGGTGCTAAAATCTAGAAAGGGTTTCTAAAGCACTGAGGCCAGAGCCCTCATTTGAGGAGTGAGGAAGCCGCCTAGCGTTGTCACAGTGGGAAGCTGGTGGCAGAGCCTAGACTAGGCCCCAGTCCTTAAGAACTGCAGGGACAGAGCTCCTCACCACCACCTCCATGCTGCCACTTTCACAATGGGAGATGTGGTGGTCATTCTAACGATGACACTGTTCTCAGCACACGTTTAGAGCTGAATAGTGGCCATGTGCCCCTAGCTGTCCAGTACCGCTTCTTCTTTCTAGGGTAGCAGGAGCTCGCCCACTTCGCCTCAGAGACCTTTCACTGATGTACCTTCTCCAATCACAATAAGGTGGGCAGGTGACCCAGGCTGGCCAGAGTATCCTAGACCCTGGGATACTGGGGTCTACTCAGGGGGGGCACTGAGCCAGCAAAAGCCAAGTAGTTTTTCAAGGACCGATACCAGTGCAGAGAGAAAGAAAGGCTCTCTATTCCGAAGCTAGCTGCTAGAGGCCACGTGGGTAAGCCGGGATCTTTGCCTGCAAAGGGAGAGCCTGACTGAGAATAAGGATCAACCAGACAAAAGCAGACCCAGGAAACAGTGTTCTGATAAATGCATGGCCTCTTGGTCAAGGTGAGCTGAAAACCAACAGAGCCTTTTTACACCAGAGTCATTAAATTCCAATTTGCATGAACTAGTCTGAGTTAGCTTTCTGCACTTGCAACTGCCCCACTGACAAAGAAATTTGTATCAGAGTAGGGTGTTTTACATCACAAATCATGAAACATAGTTTCAACTCTGTCTCTTGCAACCAAGAACACAGGTCAATGCAAATTCACTTTGACAGCTGCCTTCAGAGCCTGAGAAGAAAGGTCCTTTTGAAAACCCTCTGAGATCATGTAAACTAGACACCTCTCCAACACTACAGGATCATAAAATGTCCTAAGCAAACGGAAGTTGTCATCATCCTCCATCTCAGCAGCAGCATATTTCCTTTTGCAGGGGGTAATTTTTATATTTTATATTTCAGAACAGCCAAAAACCATGTGGAGCTTAGTTTGGTTAATATAGATAAATACCACTTTGGGTGAAGAGCTAGCTTGCTCGTGCTATTTTCAAACTTCTTATGAAAGGATGTCCTGAGAAAGAGTTCAAATTTTGTTCCGAACAATGACAGTAGTTGGAGAAGAAAGACTACAGAGTTTGTTGGTCTGACTGCTCATCTCGCAGGGACACCTGCACACCCCCTTTACCCGGGGCTGGCACACAATTACCACCCTGGGATGGGTGTTTCTTCAAAAATGTGTGTTTCTTTTTTAAACTGTAGAGACACATCTCATGTGAACCATCAGACGATCTAACACCGAGGTGGCGAAACATGCTACCATCCGAGCCACGGGAGTGAACATGGTGGTGTATCTTAGCCTCTGAAGACTGGGGTTTACCACTCGTTATCTCCGCCTGCCTTCAGCTTCCCTGTACTCTACCCTCGGTGCCGTTGCCAAAGTGAGACTTCAGAGGTGGAGCCAGAAATATCATCAGTACTTTCTAGACTAAAGCACCTAAGTCACAGGCTTGAAGCAGCGCGAAGGAGTGACGCTCCGGCTGTGCCCTCCACACGGAGGCCGATGCCTGCAACTGCCCTCCCCTCCAAGCAAGCAGGGACAAGGACGGGTCAAAGGCCCCAAGGAACAGGATTTGGGACTATTCCTGTCACTGTGAAGCCCCAACACATCCACTGCAGTCCTGGCTGAGCCCAGAATCTTGGACCCACTTGCCTCTGGGGCTCCCAGCAAGCTTCAAGCTCTGGACTTGAGTTTTGTGGCCCATGGGGCCGAGGAGGTGACCCTACCCCAACCACCTCCCAGCGGAGAAGGCTCTGATTCACCTACTCTCTCTCACACATACACACACACACACGGATGCACACATCGCAGAATGCTCAGCTGCAGAGGCTCACGTGGAGGGAGACAAGCAGCTGGGACCCCTAGAGCCCACACTTCCCCTAATGAGTTTAGAGCAACAAGCACAGACGGGTTAGAAACTCACCTGTAAGAGCCCGTGGCCACACGAATGCCATCAATCAGTGTGAACTTTTCATGAACCTTGCCAACAATTTTAGTTCCTGACCTGGCGTAGTAAATATTCCCTGTAATCGTCCGAACGGTCATCAGCTGGGGGTGGAGGCGTGGGAGAGAAAGAAGTGAACCATCCCGTGAACACATGGATAAAGAGGGCTGAGTTTACTTACAGCTTCCAAAAGACACGCTTATTGGCAGATGAGCAGCTCACGGTCACCACTCAGTACCAACCCGCACTGTACACGACCCAGGTGATTCTCAGGACTCAAGTAATGCTGCTTCACACTTAGTCCATCTTCTCGTGTGCCTTTTCCTCATAGTGATTTTTGAGGCCCTTAGTTCCTGTGGACGTGTGCTCTAAAGGAAGCCTCACTTTTTGGAGACGATGAACAACAGAATCCAGGAAAGGATTTTGAAACAAAATGTGGGGCATAAAATCGTCAAAGAAAACATGCTAGTAATAAGTAACATTTTAACAAAGGCTTAAAGGAGCTAAACTGATATTTCTCCTCCTCTTTTGTTGAGTAGCATTGCTAGTGAATAATAGGCATCCACACTTACCCCACACGTGATGGGTGTGGGGACAGGAACAGAGGCAGGACTTCTCTGACACAGGACTTCGGAGGCTGAAACACCCCTATCACATGTGGCTTCATGAGCAATGTCATTTCTCCCACAAGCACATAATTAGCAAAATGGTGCTCTGGTAATACACTGGGGCCACATATTGCATGTGTATGCATAATTATCCTTGAAAATGACACACAGAAATGCAAACATAATGGTATGCAAAATACTAAGACAATCATCATTCTTCGGAGCAGATCAGTGGTCATATATCTTTAGAAACCTTACATGTTCAAATTATATGTTTAAGATTTTTTTGTTCGAGTCTCTCATTCATTCAACAAAGAAAGCCTTTACTATGTGCCAAGGCTTGAGACAACACAGATAGAAGGCATACTCCTTATCCTCAAGGACAAAGAGAGAGAAAAGTGATGAATGATTAAAAAACTATAGCAAGATATGACATTGTCCAGAGAAGTGAAAACCTTTGTCTGCACAACAACCTGTACAAAAATATCCATAGCAACTTTATTCATAATAATGAAAAACTGGAAACTGCCCTAATGGCCTTCAGTGGGTGAATGGTTAAACAAACTATGGTCCAACCATAACATATGATACTGTTCAGCAATAGAGAGGAACAGACTATTGCTACACACTACAGTCTGGACAGATCTCAAGGGCGTTATGCCGAGTGAAAAAAAGCCAATCTCAAAAGGTCACATACTGTATAATTCCATTTACATAACATTCTTTAAATGACAAAATTAGAGAGACAGGGCATAAATTAGTGGTTGCTGGAGTGAAAGATCCAGGGGAGGGGAGTGGATGTGACCATAAAGATGTAGCAGGAGGAAAATCTTTGTGTGATGATGGAATAGAGTATAGTCTATTAGGCAGAATACACCACCTGTATTCTGATGGTGGGGGTGGTTAAACATAGGTACACATGTGATAAAATGGCACAGAACTATCGACACACATGGTGCCCATATCAATTTCCAGGTTTTGATACTGTGCTGTAAGTTACGTAAGGTGTAACCACAGGGGAGACTGGATGAAGGAAACATGGAAACCTCTATGTGCTATCTTTGCCACTTCTGTGAACCTATCATCATTTCAAAATACAGACAAAAGACAAAACAAAAAAGCTATGGCATAACATAACATCACTCCTGTGATGTTCTCACCAAAATGAAAAATATGAATTTAACCAGGAGAAAACATCAGACAAATTCAAATTCTACAGGAAACTGGCTAGTATTCTTCTAAAGCATGAAGACCCTAAAAGACAAAGAAAGAGAAAGGAACAGCTCCAGATAAGAGGATGCTAAGGAGAAATGACAAGATATGGTCCTGGACTGGATCCTGGGTAAGAAAAAGGACATTTGTGGAAGGATAGTGAAATGTCCTAGGTCTGTAGAGTAGATAATAGCATATCAAGCTTATTTCCTGATTTTGAAACTTGTACTGAAGTTTGTAAGACATTAACATTTAGGGAATTGGAGTAAAGAGTATTTAGGGATCCCTTATATTATATTATTTTGGTAACTCCTTTGTAAATCAAATTATTTCAAAATGAGTATTAAAAACCCCCCAAACTAGAAGCTTCCATAGAGGTGCACGTGGAGCTGGCAGGGGAGGGCTTCCTGGAGATTCCCGAGCAGAGCGTCAAAGGATCCACATATAACAAGCACAAAGAGCATCACTGCAGGCAGATCTCGGTGGTTTTGTGCATCTTTCCTTTTGGCATGTACCTGGCAGGCCTCTGTGACTGTGGCCAAAGCACTTTTGAGTGCACATAAACGTGTGACCAAGCTCCCAGAGACAGGACACCCAACGTTCTGGACCAGCCATAGTGCCAGGGTGGGAGAAGCCAGGCCCACGAAGTGAGGGTGCAGAGTCAACAGCCCTGACATGCCCTTGTGAGTGAAGCCCCAGGGAAGATGGTGCGTCCCAAGGGAGAAGCTAAGACCCGATGAATAGCGGCGAGGCCAAAGGTAAAGACTTCCTTCTGACCCTTCCTAGACGATCTGAACACCCACAAAGGCAGCAGCCAGCAGTGGGCAGCTGAGTCGGCAAATGTTCCTAGACTTCTGTCGGGCGGGTGAATCAGAGCCAATCACTTCAATGGAAGCAGTGGTCAGACTATTCTGTGATTTTCCTGCTACTCACACGTAACGTCAATTACAGCAACAGCGCCCTGAAATTAAACATCGACACCTTCAATTTCTTCACCAGGCCCCCTGGCAGAGCAGGCATGGGCTGAACCTCTGGCTGGATGAAGATGTGCTTTTCCATGCCTGACTTGCATTTCCCTTGGGTCCACCTGATCTCATTTTTAAACTGACCATCAGATCACACGGCTGGCTGTTCCCTTCGGTCTCCAAGCTTCAATCCTACCTCCATCGTGAATTTGCTTTGTAGCACCAGTGACAAGTTAATAGGCACCTAACTAAAACCAATCCTCAGTTTCCTCATTAGGGAGAACAATCATCAAGAGCTCAGTGGGAGAAGTTAAACAGCCAAAATTTTGTACACCAAATTGCTTGATGATAACGAGGTGTTAAGTTCACATCCTCTATGTGGTAACCTACAGTACCAAGGCCTGAACTCTTCGTCCACTTTGCTCACTGCTTTATTTCCAGTACCTGGAGTAGTGAGTAGCTTAAAGCAGACACTCACATAAGTGATAAACAAAGTTGATGACTTAAGGTGATGAACCAAGTTGATGGATTAAGTTTGGAAGCTCATAAGTTGCTTAATTTTTAAAAAGGGGATAGTGTAATACGTGACTTTTTTCTTGCCTCTTTCCATGAAAGAGAACAAGCTAGCTGAGTTATATAACCTTACATTTAAATACTTAAGCTCAAATTACTTTCATGCTCCAAGCAAAGGACATAATAAGTCTAATTTTATAATAATGAGAAGTGAGAGGCAGCATGTGACAGTGATTAAGTGACAGCGATTAAGAACCCCAGGGCTGGAGGCAGGCAGACAGACGGAGAGTCCAACTCCGTCCCACCACTGGGCTACAGTACTTCCCGATCTGAAGCACAGACATAATGCTGCTTACCTGACGGGCTGGCTGTGAGGATGAAGTTGGGTAACACTGTCAGGAGCCTAGGACAGTGCAGAACCCTGTTAAGTGTGGTTGTTACGATTAAAATTGGGGCCTACTGGTGCAGCTGCCAGCCACAGACAAGCTCCCTATGAGGAGGCAGCACAGTGTGAGGGAGAGGCTGAGGTCTGAGTCCTGACTCTGTCCTTTCTTTTCTGTGAGACTTCAGGCACACGACTTGCTCCCAACCCCAGGTCCCTCCCTTGCAATGTGGATACCACCACCAACCGCCAGGTAGATTGCGGATATTCGGGTGTTATGTGCTCATTGTGGTGAAACTAGAAACAGTGTAACACCAACCTTTTCCTGTTCAGGATGAACTTTCAGATCCATGCACATATCCAAAAACTGAGAGAGTAGAGACTGGTCCAGAAGGATGTATACGGCTACTCCCTGTTTCCGGCAGATTTCCTGCAGGTCTCGGAAGATGTCGATGTCCGTGAAAACATCCATCACCACTGCGATCACCTGAGGCGAGGGGCAGAGGGAAGATCAAGTGGTCAGCCCACAAGGACAGCACCTTACAGCTCTCTGTCCGGACTCCAGACCCCATCTCAGAGCTGCAGAGGGAGCCCCAACTTCTGATATCTTTCCTTCTCCTTCCACAGTATCAGGTTTCCCCTTACTGTGGACCCTTTTCCATTTCCAAAGATGCTCAGGCCACTGTATCCTACAAATCTTGACTTCACCCAGCTAACCTTCCCACCAGCCTCCTAGCCACTCTCCTCCACACTGCAAATTTCTCAAAACTACCTTGCCCTCCTATGAACCTGTTCCAGTCAACTCCTTTCCTTTACTAAAACCCCCATCTTACAGGATCAGCTCAGACCAGCAAGTTACTGAGGTTCTGTGGCTGGCACACCATTATCTTAGGCATATGGCTTGTTTCCAAGTATATAAAACCTTATCTCTGAGGCCCCCTTCTGGGTGTACCATTCCCCAAGTCTGAGTTTGATTACTGTCTGATTTAGGATCATAGGATGATTTTTTACTATAATCTGGAAAGGCCCGCCCCATCTGCCACCAATTCATGGCTCGAAACCAATCAAACCAGGCAAGCTGATGCTCCCATCTCTTGCCTCCATCCCTGCATGTCGCAGAATCTGCATCTCGTCCACCCCCCCACCCCACACACACACAGGGTGGGCTCTAACCAAATGACTTCCAGAGCCAGCCTCTCCTCTGTAAAAGGCGATCCCTCTACTTCGGGATGTGTCCACGGCGCAAGCCCGCAACAAGACAGAAATTTGTCCTAAGGATGCTGCCCTGAAGCTTGCACCAGTCCCTTCTTCTCCCCAACATCCTGGCTCCATTTGTGCATCCTGATCAATTTTACACACGCAGCACAGACTTTAATTGAGGGCTGCCTCCGCCCTGTGGCCTCAGGCAAATTACAGCTGCTTTGAAAGTCTGTTTCCTTAGCTGCAAAGTAGGTTTGTAGTGAGAATTAAATGACTGCGTTGCAAGAAGTGCAGGGTACAAAAGATCCCTCGAGTATCGGTTCGCAGATCCACGTGACCAGCCCAGAGTTTGAGCGGTCCAGGCAGTTCAGCGCAGGGGGACACCTGCCAGTTCCCGGCCTTCCTGCTACAGAGAGGCGGCTTCAGCGGCAGAGTCTAATCACACCCCTGCGGGTCTGAGAGCAGGGCTGTGGGGGGATCAAAACATGCAGGCTGACGTGGGGAAGGCGTAGTTCAGTGGTAGACTGCGGGCTTAGCGTGCATGAGGTCCTAGGTTCAATCCCCAGTACCTCCATTTAAATAAATAAACCTAATTACCTTCTCTTCCCTGCCTAAAAAAAGTAAACAAATAGATAAAAACAGGCCAAGTACAAGCCACTGCAACCAGGCCACCTTATGAAAGCACTCTCTTTAGGGCTAAGGCGTGGAGCCCTTTTGCAGGCTGGAGCTACGAGGTGTCTCCCTCCTCCCAAGCACAGCCAAAAAACAGGAATCTCTTTGAATCACATCAACTCCTTTTCTGAACATGAAGCTGCTTTATTTATAGGTCTCACCTCTTCTGTGGGAGCAGAGGCCCTTAAAAGGGATTGGTTCATCTCCGTGGCCCCAGAGGACTCAGGACAGTACCCCAGAATCATTACCCCTTAGCTATTTGGCTGTTAAAGAGGTGCAGAGACAACGAGGAGAGTCTGCTGTTTTTCCCTAAAACCTCAGAGTCTCACCTACCAGGGGAGGGTCCTTGAAACGCAAGCTCCCAGGAAGTCACTGCTGTGAGGGATTCTGGAAGACCAATTTCTCTCTCTGGCTGCCTTCTTCCTTACCTCCCCCACCCCATGTTGCGGAAGCCCCAGCTGTGAGTTATTCTTGGCAAAGGGTACAGCTAAAACCCACTGGAGACAGTGATTTAGAAAATAAGAAGTGTTCTTTCTAAATTGCTGGCATCTTCCAAAGTTCACATCCTCCACTGCATTTTTATACATCCTCTTTGGAGTCATATTTATCCCACTAATTCAGGTCATATAGCTTAGTGGTTAAAAGCTAAAAAGGCCTGGGCACAGATCCCAGCTGTGCAGGTTACTGGCTGTGTGACCCTGGGCAAGTTACTTAATCTCTCTGAGCCTCAGTTTCCTCCTCTGGAAGATATGGATAACAGCAGCTATGTCAAAGGGCTGTTGTGACGGTTAAATGAGACAAAGCATGGAAAGGGCTTAGCGCAGGCATGAAACAGGTGTTCAATTATGCAGCCAGCATCTCCACAGTCTATTGTGGGCTGAATCCTGTACTAGGCAGGAAGATGGTTATAAAGAATTCAACAAACACCTGACTTTCCCACAAAGAGAGGATGTGGGATGCAAGGAAGCAAAATGAGACATAATGAAATCAGGAGAGTCTTCAGGAGGAGGGGGAGACAGTAAAGCATCTCCCTTGCAGTGGTAGGCCCAACACAGGCACTCAAATGTTTACCAAAGAACAGCGGAGAAGGAGTCCCCGAGGAGAGGACATTTGAGCTATTACAAATAGGGACGGTTTGGACGGGGAGAAGTGAAGGGGCGGGCATCTGGCAGGAAGCCACGTGATGACAGAGGAAGAGGAAGGAAATGATGGGGATGTACCAATTCGGCTGGAACGCAGGGTATGCGTGAAAGGGAGCGACAGGGATGAATGGGACGGGTGAGTGAGCAAGAAAGAGCACAGAAGGCCTTGAATGCCGCCCAAGGCTCCAGTATCATACAGGCCACGGAGGGAAGGTTTAGGAAGAGCAATGAGTTCAGTGGTGAACCCAGCAGGACAGGGGAAACTGATGCGGGAAGGCTGGTCAGGCTGGAGACCTGGGCCTCCTTCAACAAAGGGCCACGCACCCAAGTGCCTGTAACACAGCCGGCACTTAGACAGCTTTTTAGGTTCAGCAAATGTTTATTTAGGAGGACTAAAGACTGAAAGAAGGAAAATCAGTGGTAGAGGTTTTGACAATGGGCCAGGCAGGAAGCCATGAGGGTCGCAGAGAAGGGAAAGGGACCAGTGGGAAGGGCAAGCGATGTTCTGTACTGGCTGCGGGAGGACAGAAGGGGCAGGGGGCGAGGGCAGAGGCAGATCCAGGGCCACACAAACAGGAAACAGAAAAAGAAACAATCTTGAGAGGGGGCTTGAAACTGATTTTGTGGTCACAGGAAAACCTCATAAGGGGGTTCTGAATGCACAGGTGTGAGAATGAGAGTCCAGCTCATGAGAGAAAGTGAGAGAAAAACTAATCTAGGGTCAGTCCTGGTCCTCAGGAGAGACAGAGGACGAGCTGGGAGCAACCCAGCGTGATGGGGCTAATGGACGTGCACCCAGGTGCCCCGGGGCAGAGACCAAGGAAGCCAGCCCAGCTGGCCGGCTTACAGAGGGTTGGAGGCTTGCTGGAGGCAGGGCCCCAGGAGCAGGGACATAAGTATAAGGCGCCTGCCAAACTGAATATTGATTTCATCACTTAACAAAACAATTGTACGAACACCACCTTTGTTGGATAGTGAGTAAGTATTTAATTTGCTATTAGTTTCATTGTTTGGTTTTCAAGCCTTAACCTTTCCTGTGTGTGTTGAGAATAATTGGATTTGATCGCTGGCCTCTCACACCCACAGGGCGTTCAGAGGGTGGACGGAGATGTTTCTTCCCTGACTTCTCCTGTACCCAACATCGCCTCCTCTCCTTCTAGAGCAGGACCCTTAAAAGCCACCTGTAGGAGGAACAGCCCCAGGTGTGGAAGCAATCAGCTCCCTGCCCTCCTTCAGACCCCATCCTGGCTCCCCTACATGCTCTGCCCACCCCTTCCCCCACTGCCATTCTGAGTTGAACCAGACCAGGGGCTCCTCAAGCCTCTGAAGGGGCAGCCTCTTCACTGAACTGAGCTCTGGGCTCACTCGCTAGCCCGCCAAGTGCCTGCTTCCGGGCTGGCCGCATCCAGGTGCTGGCGTTCATGCTGCAGGCTGCTGGGCCCTACACGTACACCTGGCCTTGAAAGTGGTCATCACTCCCCAGCCCCGAGGCACACTGTGGGATGGACAAGGGAGAGACACATGCGAAGGTGGCACCCCACACCCGTCAGGGGCCCACACAGTCACTGTGGGCACTGCCCTGTCCCAGCCTGTGCTATAAGGAGCCTGCCTGCCCTCGTAGGGCTGGAAAGCTCTGTGGGTGGTGGCTTTGGAGCGTCTGTTCCAGGGCCGAAGCCCATCTGCAGCCCGGTGCACGTCGGTCATAACATGACAGGAGGAAACACCCCACTGTCAGCGCCTGGATGGCTGGTCGCCGCCCCGTCCTCACGCTGTACTCGCTCTTCTCCAGCCAAATCTAGAACAGCCACTCCTGTGTCAAGTCCCATGTCATCATGAGTGACAAAACCTCAAGCCTTACCTCCGTCACTCCAACTATCCTTTGATGATTTACACCATGGGACCCGGTGATCCACATGATTATGGGTGGCAGTCCCTGGGGTATCTGCACAGACCCCATTTGTGTTACTTTTTCACGTAGAACTGGAATCTCTTCCATTTGCCAAAAAGCTCTAGAGAAGTATCTAGAGATTTGAAAACCCCATTAATTGTTATCTCCAATTTACTGATAAGAAAAATAAAGCATGCAGAGGTGCGGGAACTTGTTCAAGGTGACACTTAAATAAATACAGGAACTGGAATTTCAGCCCAGCCTGGGAGACCCCAGAGCTACCTATTAAAAAGTGTCAGATTAAACATTATCCCAAACACATGTAATGACTAGTCTTCAGATAATTGAGAGCCTGGAGTAAATCCTAAAAGGATCAGTAGAGTACTCCTTAAAGTCCACACACTGAGCCCACCATGGAGGGTGGTCCCTGATAACACACGCTGGCTCACAGAGTGAACGTTAGGGAACGTGCAAGGCCTAGGGCCCCGGGCACTGCTCCCTCCGAGCCGTACTGCTGACTAATCAGGAAACCTCAGCGGCACAGACGCCATGTGAAGAGGCTGCAGAGTTAGACCTGGATGGGGATGCACGCTCCTTCACTTCCGAGCACCATCATGTAGTCTCTGGTAAGTAACTTCTACTCTGCCGGCTTCTTCAACATGCGAATAATGCTACCTCCCTTGTAGTGTTTGCAGTGGGTTTGGACAAGAGAGAACACCTGACAGTTCCTGGCCCAGAGAAAACCCTCATATGGCGGCTAATCATGGTCTCAGTCCTAATTCTGCCACCACCCTGTGCAAGTCAATCCACCTGAGCGGGGCATCCTCAGCCCGACCCCTTGGAGCTCTGCGGCCTGATTCGAGCAACCTCGATGGGCGAGGCGGGGCCCTGACCAGGCAGGTGAGCAGCCTGGAGGGGCCGCTCAGGGTCAGACATTCCTGTTTTCATTCCAGTTCTTCCTCTGCCTGGAGCAGGAAGTTCATGTCACTCACCCCTTCTCACTGTACCTCAGTTTCTCTCCCTTCCCACCCACAGTCATTAAGCGTGTGTGCAAGATGCTTGGAATTCTACCAAAGGTCTGTGCACATGTAAAGACAGCCTGTCCAGTGGTCAGCAAGGGCCTGTCTGCTGAATTCCTCATGCTGATCGCATGACACCCAAACTAGACTTCCTTCAGGTCCCCAGGGCTCCTGCCACTTCTGGCTAAGGACAAAAAAAATGGAAAGCTCTATATATATGTTCGCCCCATTTATTACATGTATTAATAGAACAGAAATTATCTCCTTGAAATTTCTTTTTTAAATCTTTAAATAACAATCTTGATATCTCCTTCAGGGTTTAAAGACAAAAAGAATGTCAGTTTCGACAGTGAAACCTGAATTCATTTGTGCATGCGGTTTTCTCTCCATTTCATGGGCTGCGGTTATAAAATTAGCAATTTCAGTAAGGGACAAAAGGGCTGGTGGAGCCCAGGTCTACAGAGCGGTCCGCAGAGTGGCGCAGTGCCGCTCTGGGAAGGCAGGGGCCGGGAAGCCAGTCATTCACCAGCCCTGCGGCGGAGGGACCGACCTCGCACAGGGGCATTTCTGGGCGGGCTGGGATTTTTAGAAGGGAGGGGAAAGCATCAAGAAGGGTTCTGCGGCGGAGGAAAGGCCTGATCACTGCGAGTTACTTTCATTTTATAACTATGTAAAACATTTGCCTGGCTCCAAAGTCCAACCTACAAAACAAGATACATTCAGACACACCTAGCATCCATCCTCGTCCCTTCCTTTCCTCCGTCCCCAATAAGATAATAATTGCAACTAGTTTTTGATTTACTCTTCCATTTAAAAAAAATACAAACAAGGATATATGTATATACAGACTCATTTATATTACTAAACGAGGATATAGAGGTATTGATATATGTATGTGTGTGTGTGTGTATATATTCATATCCCTCGTAGATAAAAGGTAGCAGATGATACACATTGTTGTAGACAGGTGCTGTCCAACAGAACCTTCTGGAAATGTTCTGTATCTGTGCTGTCCAACACGGTAGCCACTAACCACAAGTAGCGATTCAGTACTTGAAACATAACTAGCACAACAGAGGAAATGAATTTTTTATAGGATGTCATTTGAAGTCACATAAACTTAAACAGCCACCAGTGGCTTACAGCTGCCGCACCAGTCAGTGCAGTTCTAGCCACTTCGTAACAGAAAACAGAGCCAGTCCCCATGCCTCTTCAGAGCTGCCGGGCACTGTGCTGTGCAGAAGGGTCCGTTTACTCATCAAGGGGACTATCAAGTCATTTTTGAAAGTGGTGACCTTTTTAGTGGCAGGGTCAGTGCTTCTGGCATCCACGGGGTGGAGGCCAGGCATGCTGCTCAGCATCCTATCATGCCCTGGACAGCCCCTCAGGACAAAAAACCACCTGGGCTGAAATGTCAGTGGTGCGAGGCAGAGAGAGCCTGCCCTGGGTTGAAATGGGCATCCAGCATAGGATGCTGTCCAGATTCTACTGTAACTCAGAGGAGAGTTGCATAAGATCAGGAGGGCCTTAATTTGGATACATCCACGTACACACTGGGGGCCTCCAACAGGTTCCTCAGCTGCTACTCCTCCTGGCAGGACTCTTCGTCAACACAATGACAGCTTTTACTAATGCTCAAGTTATCAAAAGGATGCTCAAGGGTGAGGCCATAGCCAAAGCACCCCTTGGGACAAAAGCACACAGGGAATGTGTAGCTGGTAAGAATGATGGGTCTGAGGAGTGTGGGACCCCCTAGCAGGGCAAGCTTTGCCTGTGGGCTCCCTTCAGGTACCAGGAACATCCCAAGAGCCACAGCAATAGCACATGGCCAAATGAGGGCACACAGCACTTCCAGGTAAGGTCTCCACTGACACCTGATCTGTGGGGGCCAGTGCCCAGCCAAACACGGATTCACACAGCAACAGAGACAAAGAAATGACTCACCAACAAATACAATAGTATACGGATAGATTCTGGAGTACACGTGCATAAGGGAAAATTCTGTGTAGTTCAGTATTCTCCCACATGCAAACATCTCAGCTCTCAAGAAGTCCAAAGCAAGGGAGGGGTGGGAAGGGATAGACTGGGAGTTCAAAATTTGTAGATACTGACAGGCATATGTAGAATAGATATATACTGCACAGCACAGGGAAATATATACACGATCTTATGGTAGCTCAGAGCAAAAAAAAATGACAATGAATATATGTATGTTCATGTATAACTGAAAAATTGTGCTGTACGCTGGAATTTGACACAACATTGTAAAATGATTATAACTCAATAAAAAATGTTTTTCTTTTAAAAAAAAAGAAGTCCAAGGCAAAAAAGAAAATGCCCAAAACATATTTCCTCCAGCTTTGGTGAAGCTCAGCTGAGCACCAGGTCAGCTATCAGTTTATAGTCAGAAGCCAGGCTGTACATAAAGCGCATGTTTTTAGATGCTGTACCTCACTTAACCCAGCAGACCCACGCTTTGAAAGGCGCACAGAAACAAGCCAATGGCGGGACTGGTAGGTTCCCAGTCGCAGCTACCCTGGGACAAGTCCTCTCTCTCTTTCCTGGAAATTCATTCATTACTTTTCCCAAGTTCCAAGTGCCCAAGCTCTCCCCCTGGAGGCAATCAATGGGAATGCACTCCTATCCCTAAATGGTGCCTTCTTTCTTTCATCTTTTATATCTTCCCACTGGACCCACAAGCGTCTGCTGCATCAAAAGGACCCTCAGCACACCAAAAGCACTGCAGGATTGATAACAGCCTAGCTGGAGTCCATAGCTACTGCCACAAAAGCAAGGCACTAGCCAACTATATCCCCTACCCGCTGAAACCCCATCATCAGGCAAAGAGCACCCGGCATCAGAAACACTGGCAAGTCCAGGATTGTCCCTAGTTAGGCTACTTCAACCGACTTGATGTACAGATGTCATAACCACAATCATACACACTCGGGTATGAGCCCTACCAAGACTTACCATGTTCTGGGGTTTTACCTGCCATGTCTCTGCCACAGGTAGCCAGCCAGGAAACTGGGCACTGCCAGTCAGGGAGCGAGCAAGGTGGCAGGTGGTGATCAGGGCTCTGGAGGAAGGTGCCTTTTGCCACATCCTCCCTGCCCCTCCCACCTTGTGTGTTGCATTCTTCCTCCCTGACCCCTAGGTACCCAGCACTCTGCTGCAGTCTCATGCTGGCTGGCAGGGAGACAACACCTCTCACTGCACCACAATACCGGTCACACTAAGAGCCAAATCCACAGCTGCACCAAAACCCACTGTGAATAAAGAGACAGCTTGAGGCAAGCGTATCAGTAGTTTTTCCCCAGCCTCTGGAAAAGCACACTTCTTGCTTCACCTATTCCCAGAAGGAGCAACTTCCCCTCCGGGCTGGCAGGAGAGAAAGGGGTCAGGGCTTTCACTTGTCCACTCTAGTATTTGCTTCCAACAACAAAAGGCACGTGTTGGTGATGAGCAAGGACAGCTTCCTATTGCTCCACAGTTGTCTCCGGGACAATCTTTCAGGAATTTTCCCCTAGGTTATGTGCATCTTAGGTAATGCATCCAAGGAGTTCAAGAAGGTGAGACCTAGTGTGGACTGACAGCCAGGACAATCTGGTTTGGTTTTAACTGAAAGTTGGAACTGGATGGATTTCTGGTCCCCACTCCCAGGGAAGGGGAATTTTAGGAGTTGGAACTTGGGCACAATTCGTGTTCTTGGGGACCAGGACTCCTCCCACTCTTGTCTGCCTAGAGGAGTGACCAAGGGATCGGGATCTGAGAGGATACACGCAGAGTGGGGGCAAGTCGGGGACCCTGGGATCACCCGACTAGCGCTCCTAGGAGACCTCATTTCCCCATTTTTGAAGAGGGCGTCTTGTCCGACAGGGGACCGAGGCGACCCGAGGGGCCGGGCCGGACAGCTCACCTCTCGCGCCGAGCGGAGCTGCTGGCGCAGCGCGTCCTTGCAGCCATAGGGGCCGCCTGCGCCTACGCCGCGGGGCTGGAAGTGCGCCTCGACGCGCGTGGCCCCGCGGTAAGCGCCCTGATAGAAGGCGGGCCAGCCGAGCTCCAGCAGCGGCGGCTCCAGGTCCGACTGCTCAGGGAAGTAGGTGCCGGACGAGCAGTCGTGGGACGAGCCGAAGGAGTCCTCGGCCCCCGCCGCCGCCGCGCCCTCCTCACCGGGCCGCTCGGCCGAGCGCAGGATGGCTCGCACCTCGTCGGGGTTCAGAAAGCGGCCGAGGCGCTCGCGTCGCAGGAAGGCCGCGAAGGCGTTGGGGCCGCCCACCACCAGCTCCTCAAGCGCCAGGCGTCGCTCCTCGCTGTACAGCTCAGCCGGGTTGGGCGGCCCGCAAGGCGACAGGCAGGCGGCGGGCAGCTCATCCAGGACATCGGACCTCAGGGCCATGGCGGTGCTCGGAACGCACCCGAATCGGACCAGTGCGGCCGTGCAGGCCACTTTATAGGCACCTTTGAATCTAACCGACCCGCGCCATTGGCCGAGCCGCCCCTCCCCGGCTCTCTCATTGGCTGTCTTCTTCTAACGGCAGAGTTCGGGGGTAGCGTACGCCTCTACGGCCCCGCCCCCTGACGTGCTATTGGCTGTCCCGCGGCCCGACCACGCCCCTCGCCTCCATGTCCACATTCTTGCTCCTGGGTTGCCTAGTAGGATTTAATCTTGGCAACTACGTTCTTGCTCCAAACTAGCATTCCTGCTCCAGCCCTGAGGGGCTTGAGCGGCCGTGCTGCCCCGGGCGGTGGGGCAGGCAGCGGAGCCCGAATTGAAGCCGGAGAGCCCGGCCCCCGCCATCCTCACGCGCCCCCTGCCGCCCGCCCCACGGTGCGGCCCTGGAAGGCCCAGGGCAGTCTGCAGTATGCACAGCGAGGAGAGGCCGGGGCCTGCTCTGGCTACGCTGACTGTGCTTCTTCCCGGCTCTTAGAGCTTGGGTGAGACCAGCCGTTGCCTTTATTTCCCAGCATTTAAATCATTCGCTCATTCGTTCAAAAATACCGGTCCATCATAATAGCCACTCCTTTGATTCCAACTTCAGGTAGCTTTCTCTTCTCTCACTTCATTTTTTTGCCTGGCAAAACCCCAACCCTGGTTTAACCCCCACTCTCCACCTACTTTTCATCTGCCCCCAGGCAGCCATGCAGTGCTGGGGGAAAGAAAACGCAACCGTGCTGATTGGATGTGCCTTAAAGTCATCATCTCAAGTGGGCCCTGAATGTTGCCTGCCAGCCTTTATCTTCCTACTTCACCCTACCTTCTCCTCTCCCTTTCTTAATCTTAGAGTTTGTTCCCTATGTCACTGAGAAAATAGCAGCAGTCAGGGAGGGTACTTCCACATGCTCCCACCACATCTGCCTACTTGTCTGCATCTCTGCTGACAGCCTGGACCTTCTCTTACTGCGGATGACCGTCCCTGAGCCTACCTAACGCCAGTGCTTTCCTTTGGGCACCAGCTGCTAATCCCTCTACTACTAACCTATACTTCTCCAGCAATCTTTCCTCTTTCCTGGATCATCAATTTCCCTTCTTTACTGGTTCATTCTTAGCAGCAGCACACAAACATGCTGAAATATTTTTCATCGTTAAAACAACCTCTCTTGACCCTACATCCCTCTAGAGCTTCCTCCCCATCCCTAGCCTGTTTGTGAAGTTTTTCAGACCCAAATATGGGGCCTTCTATGTGTCCCAACTCTGACAGCCAGAGTCCAGAAGGGCCCAAGAGGGAACCCTTTTTCATCCTCTTCCAAGGTACCAACAACTTCTGTATGTGATGAAGACAAGGACCATAGTATGGGGCTGTGCATTGCCTGAGGTCAGAAGTGGGAATAACCACATTTTCACCTACTGTATTGTTGTAATATGAGCTAGTATGTAGTATTTTACTTCCTCACTATAAACTGTATGAGGAGGACTGGGGTGAAGATGATGGAACAAGTCAGTGCACTCGAAGAACAAACAGAAGAGAGGGGCCTCCCTGCTGCATGTAAATAAATAGGTTATCAGACAAACCTCTGAAAGCGTGGGGGGAAAAGTTATAGGAGCGATTGTGGGGCTCCATGTTAATTCCAAAAGAAACATTTGACAGAGTGAAGGTCATTTTCAACCACCCTTCTTTTCTTGAATTCATCTAGTCTTCTAGTCGAGAAAGATACCTGCTCCATGTCTGAGCTCTCAGACCTCCCTCTGAGGCCAAGTGGGAGAGCCCACCCCTGCCCTCTCTCCCTGACATCAACTCTCTGTGAATTCAAATCACTATATAGTTCAAGGGAGCCCACAGCAATGACCACAGCCACACTAGCAGGTGTTATTAAAAGGAATTTAATAATCTTAATTAAAAACTCTTAACAGCGAATTCTGTCACAGGCCTTGGCAGCTGGAAGCAACTCCAGGGGCACGTCCCTTTGGGATGCAGTGGAGCCCCAGTGAGGAGCTACCTGGAAGTTACTTCAATACAATATCAAAGATCTGCGAGGATTTTTTTTAAAAAAAGTTTTAAATATATTAGACTCTCTTGATTGCCATTTTTACACAAAGCTGCTGATACAGTATACAGAGTTTTAACTTTTTTTTTTCACATAAAATACATTTTTTCTTAAGTGTTCTCTGGACATCAGTGGCTTCTGGTCTGGTGGATTATTGCGGAGGGCTGGACGTCAGCAGACTTTTCTTGGGTGCACAGAGCCAGGCTCAGAACTGTGGCACTTGCGATGCCCTTAGGAAGCAAGCCCTCTGGCCAACTGGCCAACAAGAGACTCTGTCCAGGAGAGCTTCTAGCAAAGGCGGTCCCTGCTGTGGAGTCACCCACTGACCACATGACCCTTTGCTCTTAGGTGCCCTGGGGGAGGGGAGGCTGTCCCCAGGCCACAATAGCAAGACTCAAATACAGTCCTCTGGGCATCCTGTAAGGAGTGCCCTTCTGGGAAGTGTTCCAGTATTCTGCTCTGGGAAAGCAAGTGGGAGAGAGAACTCAAGATCAAAAGGAATCTGACACCAATAACCAAAATGGTCTCCTGTTATCACAAGGCCAGCAAACTAGTGGGTAGGACAGGGGACACACTCTTGTTAACTTTTCTAAGCCTACTGAAATTGATCAAACAGTACAGAGAAGTTTTATCAATGCAGCATCTTTAATGGAGAATGACATTCTGAAGTCTTCAGAAGACCTGGGTCTAGGGTTCATTCAACTTCCCTGAGCCACTGGCCAGAAACTCGCTCTCGGGTGATAGCCACCAATTTTCAATTGTTTGGGGCATAGGGTGGGAGAAAGGGCCAGAGCTCACAGGGAGTCTTGTGGCACAGGCTTTGGAAACAGCCTCCTTTAATCTGCCAGGAAGTGAGACCAGACCTGGGTTGAGTGGGAGCTGGGCATCTGGTCAACCTTGCCAGCTTTCTCCCAGCTCTTTGATCCACACCTGCCAGGAAGAGAGGCAGACTCATGAGGAAGGGCTTCCATGTTAAAGGAGAAGCTCCTTTTCCTCCTATTATCCATCGGTGGGGCAGGAAGACTAGATAATAAGTAAGCAAAAATGAGCAAGAGATAATGAGCTTAAGCATATGAGATGCATTTGGCAGCAAATTCCAGACTCCTTGTTCTTCTAGACACTGACTTCAAGCTGCTATTATACAGTGCCTGAAAGATGCTGCCTGAAGGCAATTATCCTTGAAAGTTCGGACTTGGCATGGTGTCTACCTGGAACCCAAGCTCCAGCATCTCCATTTAGTGGCCAGTATTATCCAGGGGTGGCCATGACAGCAGCTTCCCAGCCAAAGGAATTCATACTCTAGGGATTCTAGGAGCAGAAAATCAAAGGGGTGCTGGACCAGGAGGCAGCCCCTCCGTCTCAGGTGAATTGAATGGGGCTGCTGATACCCGTGGTCCTCAGGATGAGACCTGTAAAGTGCAGTCTCTTCCCTCTGTCTCATTCCTCCTTTATCCCTGGAACCATTGTGTCTGGTGCATCACAGCTACTCAACAAACTACATGAGTGAATGAATGAATGACCTTGGCCCCAGCTTGTCCCTCAACACCAAGGAGATCCACAGGGAAAGGTCCCCAAGTACTTAAAGGGAATGATTTATCCCTGACGAAAAACACAACCTAATGACCAAGAGTCTGCTGTTGGCTCCTGTCAGGGACTCAACAGGGATTCCCCGCCTTCGGGGATGGAGAGGAATGGCCCAGGAGACAGGAGGCAAGGAAGAAAGAGGGAATCGCCAGAAGGGCTCAGAGAGGGCAATAAAAGCCTCAGTCTCTAGCCCCTGAGCAAACAGATCAGAAAACCTGCACAGCTCCCTCCTCGGAGTGCGTGGCTTCCCTCGGCTCCTCCCAGCTTGCAGCTTGAGTCAGCTTAAGAGGAATTTCAGTGTCAGTCTGATCTGAAGACTATTTTAAAGCCTAAAGGTATGTATGTTTTTGGATCATCCCTACCCTGCTCCAGCCATAAGCTGAGATGATGGCGAGCTGGCCCCTGTCCCCAGGGATGTGGCAGGTGTCACGCACGCCTGTCTACAGTCGCCTGACCTGCCTTTCCACCCTAGACTTGATCTGTCCCGGAGCTGGGGTGGGAGTGGTCCGATGCTGTGACTCTCCCTGCATCCAGGAGCCACCAGGGGCGCAGTGACTCCCCTGAGGCCCCTGCTCTCTGGCCCAGCTGCCCTGCTCCCGGTAAAGTCTCAGCCAGGCCCCTTGGGATCCAGCTCCACCTCGGGGCGACAGGAGCCATGGAGGCCACAGTGGGGGTCTGAGAATGGGACAAACACCAGACCCCATTACTGGGATTGTGGCACAAGGTGGGGGCTCCTCTAGCCCCAGCCCCTGGCCCAGGTGTCCCTCCGGGAGAATTTCTCAAAGGCTCAGAAACAAGAAGGTGAAAGGGAGCCCATATTTGTCTCCCAAATTCCAGAATGGACCTAGGGGGCTCCGTCAGAGCTCTAAAGAGGTAGTTTTAGGACAAATAAAAGGCGCAAAGAGCAGGAAACAAACCTGCCGCTAGTTAGTTACACCAGTAGGTTTTGGCTGAGCCCGTGAACAGCGCCCAACTCATAGGCAGCAATTTCAAAGGGGCTTATGAGAGAATGCCATGGGGAGGCGACAGGCAGCCTGTCCCTTGTAGCCCTCCCTCCCCAGCATCAGAAGGACTGGGGCTATGAAATTGTACAGCTGGGGCAAGACCCACCTCTAGCCCCACCGCAGCTCTCCTGAATGCAGGGCAGGGTGTTGGGCACCGGCACCTTGAATTTGCAGTCCTGGGGCGTCATAACTCTGGGAGGAGCAGGAAGGGAGCCCCTGGGCCAGACAGGAACTCACACGAGCCAACTGGCTAACCTGTGTCACTTTTCTCATTCCAGAAAAAGCAAAGCTAGGCCGGGAGTCCTGAGTATTCACTCTGGGAGAGGTGGAGCCCCAGCAGCGCCTACTGCTCACTCTGATGGCTCCGTCTGAGGAAGGCTGGCCAAGATAGGCTGGACTGAAACCATCTGAATATTCACAAAGATTGGCCAGGGCGCTGGGCTCTGTCATGGTTACCAGGGATATTTGCAGAAATTAACAACACGTACTCACCTCTCTCCCTGGAAAAGCCCTTCCAACTGAAACTTCTCACTTAGCTTCATTTTTGCATCCAACACCAGTCAGTAAAACCTAGTGATCACGATACTGTCCATGAAAGAGAGCTATTTCAGTGACCCCCACTTCCCCCACAACACCTGGAGTTTTACAGTCCCAAAGAATTCTTTCATCAACGCATTTTTGGAAACACTAACTGAGTTCTCCGTCTCCTCAATTTTATGATATTTCTATCCAAGAGCAAAATTTGATTTGGATTATTCCAGGAATGGAATAGCCTGGTTTTCTACCTCGGCCCCTGGGTGCTCACACAGCTGGCTCCTGGCACAGGCAAGGCTGAAGACAAGCCCTCTAACCTGCTAATCTACCCCATGTGGGTGCATACCTCCCTCTGAACGCAAAGAAGACCTCCTGCTCCTGCCAGATGTGGATTATGATACCAAGCGCTGGTATGATTCTGGGCAGGATGACAGGTCTCAGCTTAGCAGGTCCCCTCCCCTGCTAAAGCCATGGTGGCAGTGGTGATGCAACTCTGAATCTTAACCTCAGTCTTCTTGGGAAGAACCCCCGAATTCTCAGTCCCACCTGCTTCCCATGAGCTCAGCTGGATCATCCCTAGACATGTTGATTGAGTGTGTGTGTGTGTTGATATGTGACTTGCGAGCATTGGTCCAGAGAAGCCTTGTCCAACAACTGAACTAGAATCCCAGCCGCCCTCCCAAAATCTGACACCAGGATAAGTCAGGAAGCCACCACGGGCCTTGTTTTTGATGGCAGACAATGCAGCACAAAGCAGAACCGTGGGAAGTGGTGATGCTATTGACAGCTGGCTGAGAGGTGGGGTCCGCATTCCTTGGGAAAGCAGAGCCCACCTCCCCGCAGCCACCCTCTGATGCCTCCCCAGCCAGGGCTGCTGGGCTGGCTTGGATTCCAGGGACACTCTCCCCAAAGCATCTCTCTGCCCCATCACACGGAGACTAGGAGATGCGGCAGCAGCCATGGACCTTCTCCTCCATCTCCTCCATGGGAGCCTTGAACTTCAAGAGCGGGGGGTCTCCACTGGTGACCGTGTAATACACCGAGGTCCCATTGCTGCTGTAAGGTGAAGTTCTGCCTCCGATCAAGGGGGCCTTGCCTTCACTGCTGCCCTCGCCCGTCCTGGCCATGCTGCTGCCCAGGTGCGTGCTCAGGAAGGGATGGCTGAGCAGCTTGGCTGCTGCCCGCTGCCGCTTCAGCTCCAGAAGCGTCTGGGGGCTCTGTTCCTTGTAGCCACTCCAGGGCGGGGTGGCATCGGCCATGCCAGGGCTGCCGTAGGCCATGTTGTAGTCGGGCACCTCGTGCACTTTCCAGACGTCCCCGTTGGACAGTGCATACTGGTAGGTGCTGACCGGAGCCCGGAGGCCATTCTCAACAGGCACGTCCATTTCACTTCGGGGGATCTTGGTAGGAAACTCGGAGAGCAGCACGGGCTTCTCCAGCCTGGGGTTCTGAGGGTGACAAGGACAACGTTACCAGCTGGCAGGAGGATCTGAACCCACACCCCGCTTGCGCCTCTGCTGAGGGCATGATTGTCTGCGCCTGTCCTCATCTGATTTCCCTCCCTGAGTAACAGGACCTCTGTTTTTGAGGGGGAATTCACCAATCTATGGGTTTTGAGAGAGCTGACCACAGCTCCCATCTTTGATCCAGGAGAGAGACCGTGATGCCAGGCCTGGCCAGTCAACAAACTCACTACAGGAACTCGTTCGGGATGGGATCTTGACTGAAATTGGTTCAACAGAACTCAGTCCTGGGACTTATGCTAGAACAACCAGGAAAGTGCAGACCTGTTTCTGCAGGAACTGCAGTGGTAAGAGTGATGTACTGGGGAGATGCCATGTCAAAGGGCCTGCTTGGCTGTGAAGCCAACATTAAAGAAGACTGAGGGAGACGGAGACAGAGACAGACAAAGACAGACAGACAGAGCTTGCAGCTTGATGATACATTTTGAGCCTCTGGATCTAGCTGGGCCCAGACTTTCCGTTACATGAGCCAATGCATTCTTTTTTTTGTGTAAGTCAATTTTAATTGGGTTGGGTTTTGGGGCACTTATAGTCCTTCCTCTATACCCCTGGGATAGCTCCACTCCAAATGGGAGAGTCTCACCCAGAGATCTTTTACACCCAGCAACTCCTAGGTAACAAGAGCTTTAAAAGTCACTGCTGCCTAGAAACTATAAATAAAAGGTAGATACATTTGACAGTAGCAAAAATCACCATAAGCAAAGTCAAAAGACATGAGAAAAACTGGAAATATATTTGCAACATATATGACAGAAAAGGATTCATTTCCCAAATATATAAATAGCTCTTACAAATCCATTTTAAGAAGCTCATTTACTCAATAGAAAAAAATAGGCAAAGGACACTAATATGCAGCTCACAGCAAAATATAGATCTATATAGCATATAAATATAGGAAAAATATTCAATCTCACTGATAATTAATGACTTAAAAATTAAAACAACAAAATGCCATTGACTATTTTTTTTAAATAGAGGCACTGGGGATTGAACTCTGGGCTTCATGCATGCTAGGCACGTGCTCTACCACTGAGCTATACTACCACTCCCACCCCCTGACAAGTACTTTTAAAGTTTGTTCTTATTCAGTGCTGGCAAAGGTGTGGGAAAACACGTATGAGTGTCAAATGCCACAGCTTCTTTGGAGGCAGTATCACATCATCTACACACACACAAAAACATTTTTAAAGAAAAATATATAGTTTGCACCAGCAAGCCCATTTCTAGAACTTTGGTTCACAGATAGACCCCCTCAGGGGAGCCAAACCTGAAAACCATCATTAGGCAGGTGGGAAATGATGGCAAGTACTTGGGCTATTCTCCAGCTGGTAGGAAAAATGAAGGAAATTTATATCTGCTGACGATTCCAAGAATCTTGATTTCTTGGAAAGAGCTCCAAAAGATATATAATTAGGTTAAAATATGGTAAGGGGAGGGACGTTTGCCATAGTAAGTCTCCATTTATGTGTGTGTTTCTTCTTTTTCTTCAATGGCTTCCTCTGAACTACGCAGGCAAACTGATGTCACATGGGTGGCAGGAGGGGTGGTGGGGGTGCGGCAGGGAATGCAGATTCTTGATGGTCTAAATCAGTGCTGCGCAAACTTTCATGTGCACGTGAGTCACCTGGGGCTCTTGTTAAAATGTATATTCTGATTCACTTGGTCTGGGTTGAGACCTGAATTTCAGCATTTCTAACAAGTTCCTGCCAATCATTTGAGTAGCAGGGATCTAAGACACGGGTTCTCAGCTGTGAGTGCATACTGGCATCAGCTGGGAGATTTAAAACACACATCCAATGCCGATCTGAAAAGCCCCATACTGTGTGACTCCAACTGTATAATATCTGGGGAAAGGCAAAACTATGGAGACATTTAAAAAGATCAGTTATTGCCAGGGGTTGGGAAGGGATGAATAGGGAGCACCGAGGATTTTTAGGGCAATAAAAATATTCTAACACTTTAATGATGGACACGTGACATTATACATTTGTTCATATCCATAGAATGTACAACCAGGAAAGTGAATCATAATGGAAACCATGGACTTTAGTCAATATAATGTATCAGTGTATATGGATATTGGCTCAGAATGATAACGGAAGTATTACACTAAAGCAAGACATTAATAATAGTGGGAACCGGGGGACATGATAATGGGGGGAAACTGGAACTTCCCACTCATTTTTCTATAAACCTAAAACTACTCCAAAAAAAGTACAGTTTATTGATTTAAAAAAATACATGAATACAATGCCTGAGTTCCATGCTTAAAGAGCCTGATTTAATCAGTTGGGAATGTAGCCTGGACATTAGGCTTTTAAAAAACAAAAACAGAACACCTCCCCCAGGTGATTTTCTTATACAGTTAAGACTGAACCACTGGTTGAAGGGACGGGGCTGTCTTATTACTGCTGTGCCTGGTACTAGGGTGTCAGCTCTGCCAAAACTATGTACCAAAGCCAGCCTGGGGGGCTAACAGGGCAGAGCCCTGGCAGAAACCTGACTTGGGAGCCAGGCTGAGCAAATGTTCCCTTAGATAAGTGGTTCTCCAATGCTTGTGTGCATCAGAATCCTCTGGAGGGCTGGTTAAAACACCCAAGTGCTGGATCCCAGCCCCAGAGTTTATGATTCAGGACATCTAGGGTGGGACCTGAGAACCTACATTTCTAACAAGTCCCCAGGTGATGCTGACGCTGCTGGTCCAGGGACCACACTTTGAGAATCCTAACCTTAGAGACTATCACATCCTTGCCAGCACCTAAAGCCTTGAAAGAGGTAGGAGGGAAAAGGAAGGAGCTTTGAGCTTTGTAGCTGGGTCCTGTGATCTCCTTTCTTCCTCTGGGGCTGGGTCAGGGGCCTTGGACCCTGACAGTTCCCATGGGACAGGACTTCTGGGTACCTGGGAAAGGATTGCCCGCTTTTGGCTACACCATCTCTGTACCCTCTCTTCTCCTCATCAGGCCTGAAACCCCAGTCCCTGAGACCAAGTGGCCCATCCAGATGCCTTCCCCAACCCCAAACCGCAGCCTTGATGAGGAATCCTCAGAAATTAACAACAACAAACACAGGCTGAACTCCGATTGGTTTCCGGCAGCCATAACCCTCCACCCTATTCCCTACAGGGTTAATGGTTTATAAGACTTCACTTCAACTGGCATCTCTGGGAGAGTCCTGGGGGGCATATGTGATCTGAACAAACACAGGGACAAAGCAGATGTGGAGGAGGAGGGGCTGCTTCCAATGAGGGCTTCTGTAAGATTCTCAGTCCCTCCTGTGAATCAGTAGGGAAAAGATAAACAACCCAACAAAAAGGGGATAAAGGACAGATGAAAGCACAAACAAAATAACCAGCTGGGCACCAGGCACATGAAGATGTTGCACATCGTCCACCATCAGAGGAAAACAAATTAAAAATGCGAGCTACACAGCGACCCCAACGGGACGGGTTGTGTATACCAAAAGTTGGCAAGAAAGATGCCTTCACCACTGACTGGAGAGCCGACAGGAACAACCCCTTTGCAAAACTGCTTGGCAGGATCGACAGAAGCTACAAATCGCCTACCCCATGACTCATATCGCATTCCTGGGTAAATACCCGCCAGAAAATGTGTCCACCAAAAGACACGTACAAGGATGTTTTGAGCAGCTTCATTCAAAATAGCCCCAAACTGTTAACAACCCAAATATTCACCAGTGGGAGAACGGACCCGTAAATTGTCGTATAATCAAATCCTAGAACTAGTCTTTAGTGCTCCGGGTTAAATAGTGGCTGCCTCTGGGGTGGGCAGTTGTCTGAAAAAGGGACCATGGGAGCCTTCAGGGGTGACGGAAATGCTCTATACATTCACGAGGGTACACATTTGTACGGGTTCATTGAAAAATTCATTTAAATGATTGGATAAAGGTATGATACACACACACACACACACACATATGTATATATACACAATGCAATACTACTTAGCCATAAAAAAGGGTAAAATAATGCCATTTGCAGGAACAGGGATGGACCTTGAGATGGTCATCCTAAGTAAAGTCAGACAGAAAAAGAAAGAAAAATACCATATATTGCTTATACGTGGAATCTAAAAAATTGACACAAATAAACATTTACAAAACAGAAACAGACTCACAGACACAGAAGACATTATGATTACGAGGTGGGGGGAGGGAGAAATAAATTGGGAGTCCAGAATTTGCAGATACTATTATATATAAAGTAGGTCCTACTGTATAACACAGGAAATTATATTCAATACCTTGTAATAGTCTATAATGAAAAAGAATATGAAAAGGAATATATATATATACATATACATATATATAACTGAATCACCATGCAATGCACCAGAAATTAACACAACATTGTAAACTGACTACTTCAATTTAAAAAAATTCTCTTGATCTGTGTACTTCACACAAGTTACACTTCAATCACAGAGAAAAAAATAATGAAAGCATAGCTGGGAGGTGTCTGAAATGTGATTTGACTGCAATCTACAATTCTTTTTCCTCCCAACCCCGAAGCTTAGGGATGAGGCAGAACAAAAGCCCCACGTGTGCCATCTCCATCCCAGCCTTCCCTTTAATGCAGTTCTCTTCAGTAAACACCTTCACTCCTGCAGGCAAGATAAGCCCTCACATGACCTTCCTGTTCACACGGTGGAGCAGGGTCCCCCCGAGACATGGGGGCACACTGGGTGGCTAACCATTTCGCATCCCTCCAAAGTGATACTTGCTAGAAATGTTGTCAGCTGCTCATTGTGTGACGGATGAACCAAAGAGGCAGACCACTACTGGTACGGTCAGCCCCTCCTGTCTTGTCCTCAGCAGTTCTGCTCTGTCCCCAAACTTGCTTACTCCACTCAGCAAGACTGCAGCCATGCATGGACCAGAGTGCCTCAGTGTGTCAATACTGCATCAAAGAGTGTCCCCCATCAAAAACTCATGTTCACCCCGTGTCTCTGAGTGTGACCTTATCTGGAAATAGGGTCTTTGTAGACGTAATTAGTTAAATTAAGATGATGTCATACTGGATAAGGGTGGGCCCCAATCCAATGACTGGTATCTTTCTAAGAGAAAACAGAGACACAGGGAAGGCCATGTGAAGACAGAGGCAGGGATTGGAGGCACTCTGGCAAAAACCCAAGGAATGCCTGAGCCACCAGAAGCTAGGAGAGAGGCATGAACTAGATTCCCCATCAGAGTCCCCAGAAGGAAACAAGCCCATTGACACCTCCATGTTTAGACTTCTGGCAACCAGAAGTGGGAGAGAATACATTTCTGTTGTTTCAAGCCACCAAGTTTGTGGTCATTTCTTACAGCACTTCTCAGAAACCAGGACAGCATCCTTTTAGGAAAGTAGTTTAATGGCCAGACCACTGGCTACTCCTGGGGTGGGCTTCTTAGATGTCCCATCAGCAGCTTATTCAGTTTTTCAAAAATTTCCTTCCCACCAGATATGTTCTGGTAAACACAGTTCTCAGCATCTTGTTATATCCTGCCCCTCACCCCACAAAGAAGTTTTAGTGCCCTTATCTCCTAGGGTGGCTGCCCTACTGAACCTCTCTTCTGGGAAGCCCTGACCTAGGTCTGCTGGAGCCCAAGCAGGCACATGGGCATCACTTGCTCCCTGGAGATGATGAGACCATCCTATGTGCAAATCTCCCAGCTCCGATGTGAATGGCCCCTACGCTCGCCTCATTAACCACACTCCCATCAGACAAGACCCAGCTGGTTTAAGGCCACTGGCCAGCTGACCTTCCTCTGAGGGCTCTGAGATGAAGAGCCAACACCAGGCTGGGGCCCTGGCCCCCTCCCGAGACGGTGGCCAACACGGGGGCCGGGAGGGAGGTGGGCACTCACTGGGTCCTTATTCTCTTGGTCTGTCCTGGTCTCTCTGACGTCCCCGTTGTAGGCAGAGGTCCTTTGATCCTCGGCTGCGCTCCGCTGCTGCCACAGGATGGCCTCTCCCTCATACTCCTTCCTGTACAGGTTGGTCCTGTCCGACAGGCTGGCTCGACGCACCACCTTCCTGAGGGCAGAGGGGGGATGCTGGGAGGCTGCGTCCAGGCGCCGTGGGTGGGACCATGCACGGGGGCCCCTGGCTGCCCTGCCCCTGACTCACCCGCGGCTGCCCGCGCTGGACGTCCTCCTGCTCAGGGATGACTTGTGCCTCAGCTGCGACTTCATGATCACGTCGTGCTTGTGTTTTAGCTCCAGCAGCAGGACCTTGAACTCTTCTTCCTCACATAGGTCTGGAGGGGCAGAGGAGTCCATCGTGGGGGGCATTACAGGGGCCCGTGACCCCTGAGGGCCTCCCAGGCCAGAGGAACTGCCACCCAAACCCACCAAAAATGCCCAGCATCTTTTGGGGCATGGAGAGAAGGGAGAAAACAATGCCAGCCTGGTTTCCTGGGCTACAACCCAATTCTTGGAGGAGTAAAGAAGAGGAAACCCAGGGCCCATGCACAGTCCCATTCCCAGCTGTGGCTGAAGGATTCATACGCCTTTGATAGCTTCCAAGAAGAGTTATCTATTCTCCACCGATACACAAAGTATCAAGAGAAACAAGCAGGTACCCCATGTAGCCCAAGAAAAAATGATGAAAAAATGCTGAAATCATATTTCCCCACCCACTCATCCTTTAATTCATCTGTCTACTTATTCACTGACCCATTCATCCATCCACAGATTCATCCTCGACCCACCCACCCTCCTATGCATACATACATACATACATACAGTCATCCACTTACCTCTCCACCCATCCGTCCATGTATCAATCAACCACCAATTAATTTATTCATTTATCCATCAATTCACCATCTATCCAACCTTATCTTCATCCATGTATCCTCACTCATCAAAAAATCACTGAAAGCCTATGTACATACCAGGTGTTGCGCTGGACTTACCTATTGGCATCTCATCCATGGATGTCCTAGCACTGAGACTGGCCCCATGGGACACCAAGAGCTCCGCCATCTGCATCTAAAACACAGGAAGAAGGCCAGGTCCCCCCCTGCCCAGGGGTCAGAAAGTCTAGGAGGTGGAGAAAGTGTTCAAAGCTTCTTAGGATGTGACTCAAAGAATGGTAGGGCAAAGTTGATTGCCAAGGAAGGCTCTGCACCCTACAGGCAGGACTCCTGGCAAATGCAATGAGTTTGCCACCTCCTCCAGCATGCCTGGGCCATACCAAAGAACAAAGGAGGAAGGAGTCAGCTGTAATGCCAGAGCCATTAGGCATCTAAGGAGGAACGGTGAAAGCTGCAATCAGAGATTTATAACTGGGAAACAAATGGAGAAATTACTCAAGGCAAAAATGCGGGGAATTTTCTACTTTGGCAAATTTGATTATCATCTTATTAGGACACAGCTTGTCAAAGGCTGTCGCCAACCCCCTAGATCTTTTCATACCCATACGCTAGCCATAGTCAACACCTTACATGGGTTTTATGTTTTCTGAACCAACTTCCAGCCCAAAGGACAGCAGGCTGACCCTGTGCTGGCCTCCCTCCCAGCCCTGTGGGTGACAACTACCTGCCCCCAGAAGGCAGCCGCGTGCAGGGGCTCCCAGCCATCCCAGTCCTTCACATCCACACGCACTCCGTGGTCCAGAAGGAGCTCTGCTGCCCGCAGGTATCCATTGGCTCCAGCTATGTGCAGCTGAAGGAGAGGAAAGACGTGAGCATCTGCTGGGGGGTGTCCCCTCATTTGGAGGCAGGAGAGTCCGTTCCTTGACCCAAGTCCCAGATCATACTTGGGGCCGGTAGAATGGGATAGAATGAGGTGGAAATGCCTGCCACACTGCAGAGGACCATAAGTCTGCAGTATGACCAAGAGGGTAAGGCAGAGAAGTGAACTCCTCTCCCCTGTCTTAGAGACCCTGTGGTTAAGGCAACAGCATTTACTGAGTCCTTACTATGTGCTGAGCCCTGTAGAAGGAATCTCAGAAGTCCAATAGGGTGATTTTAAAATGTGTCTACAAATTCTTTGACACACCTCTCTTTAAAAGATGAAGCTTAATTCCTGCCGCCTCGAATGTGGGCCAGAACAAGTGACTTGCTTCTAACAAACAGTATATAGTGAAGTGGTGGTATGTGATTTCTGAGGTCAAATGCGGCTTCCACCTAATGCTCTCTTGGATCAATCACTCTAGAAGTAGGCAGCCATAGTGCTGTGAGGACCCTTAAGCATCCCTAAGGACAGAGCTTAAGAAGTGAGAAACCGAGACCTCCTGCCAACAGCCAGCACTAACTTGTAGCCACGTGAGTGCGCCACCTTGGAAGTGGATCCTCCAGCCCTACACGAGCCTTCAGATGACTGCAGGCCTGGCTGACATCTTGACTGCAGCCTCATGAGAGACTCCACACCAGTACCACCCACTTAAGCTGCTCCCAATTCCCTGACCCACAGAAACTATGTGGAAGAATATATCTTTATTACTGTTGCTTTAAGATGCTACACCTTGGGGTAGTTTGTTATGCAGCAATAGATAACCAATACATCCCATCAGGGAAAGCTCACATAGAGGCCCCATTTCTTCTACCTGGTGCCATTCAAGGCCTCTGGTGATGAATGCCACCTTGTAGACCTCAGTTGTCCACTTGCTCAATCTCCCAGAAAATACATAAACTACTTACCACATGATGAACACTCCATGAGGGATTAACATTCTCAGAGAGCCATAAGTGATGACAAGACCTAGTATGTGCCTGGTCCATGGGGGTGGAGCCACTGTGAGACCAGCCCGAGAAGAGCAGACCCCTGTGTCTAGAGGGTCCAGCCACAGACCCACAGGAGCTCCAGCCAGGGTGGGCAACGCCCTGGTACCGCCTGGTCATGACATCACACAGCATTCACACAGCGTTTAATCCAACTACCCGACTCTAACCTTGAGTGCTGGGCTGAGCAGGTGATTTGAGTAGGGACCCAGTTCATCAAAAAGGGCTTGAGGCGCAAAAGCTTAAAAATAGAACTACCAACCCCACTGCTGGGTACATATCCAAAGGAAATGAAAACACTAATTTGAAACAATACACGCACCCCAATGTTCACTGCAGCATTATTTACAATAGTCAAGATATGGGCACAACCTAAGTGTCCATCAATACTTGAATGGATAAAGAAGACGCGGCAAAACATACATATATATACAATGGAATATTCCTCAGCCATAAAAAGGATGATATTCTGCCATTTGCAGCCACGTGGATGGACCTAGAGGGTATTATGCTTAGTGAAATCAGTCAGACAGAGAAAGATAAACACTCTATGTTAGCACTGATATGTGGAATCTAAAAAAGAAAACAAATGAGTGTATATAACAAAACAGAAACAGACTCACAAGTACAGAAAGGGAAGTGGGGAGGGGCAAGACAAGGGTAGAGGATTGAGAGGTACAAACTGCGACATAGAAAATAAATAAGCAACAAGGACATAGTTGTACAGCATGAGGAAATATAGCTGTTTTGTAATAACTTTAAATGGAGTAGAAAATAATGAATCACCAAGAGTGGCCAGCTTCTCAGAGCGCCTGAGCCCGGCTCTGCACACTCTCCATATTCCAGAGGCCACCCCGCCTCCAAGGCAGGTCTGGAGGTGGTCCAAGGCCACGGACAAGCCCCAGCTGGATAGGTTTGGCCTCTACCAGGTGCGGGCCCACTTCTGATCCTGACCGCCCTGCCCAAACCAGCCTGGCCCCTCTCCTCACCAGCGTGGCCCCCTGGGCATCTATCCAGTTGAGGTCCTGGCCGGCTGCAATCATACAGTGGATGTCCGAAATCATCTGCTGCTCAGGGGCTGCTCGCATCTCGTTGATCTTCTCTTGGGTGATGCCTGCAGTGGGGGAGGGGGTTTTAGTCAGCACTCAAGGACTGAGGCCCCAAGGGGGAGGGGTGGTGAGAGGAAGGTAGATGGGGGAGGCGTGGCTCCTGTTCCCCGGGGTCTGTCCTACCACCCACCTTCCTGCCTCCAGCTTCTCAAATGCCTGGCTCCTCCTCATCCTTTAGGTCTGGCCTGGATCCCCTCCCTAGCTGGCCTCCCCTGATCACCCCATCTGACCCAGGTCTCTGTTAGTTTCCTCCATCTCGTCCACAGCTGTGTTTGTGGCACCAGGCACAATGCTCAATGAATCTTTGTTACGGCAGTGACGGAATTCACCGAACATATAACTTTCAAATGGAGAGCTGAATGAATCGAGGTGGAGGGACCCAGAAACACATTTTCAAGCCTGACTCTCTGGCTAAAACTCTAAGTGTTACTGGCAGCTACTAATAGAGTTGAAGGAGAGAGTGACATGCTCTGAAAGGAGGTCCATTAGATCAAGCATTCTTGGATAGAATTCAGGGGAGGTCTGTAAACGTGAAAGGAGAAAAGAATGACATGTTTATTTTCATTACCCTTTAAATGAAAGATAGCATTTCCTTCCATTAGAACACAGGCCAAGTTCACAATAGAACTGGCAGTGACTTTGTCACCAGCAGAAACTGCAGATATTTTCATTCTATCTGATTGCTTCCTGAATCAGTAAAATTTCTATATGACACATTTAAAAATATTTGGGGACTTATACTTTCATAGAAGTGGTTTCCGTTATAGTCCTATGGCTTTGATAACTGCGTTTAAAAATATTATTCTGAGAAGGCGTTCACAGATTCACCAGATTAGCACAAAAACCATTAGGAAGCTTTGCAGAAAGTGAATAGGAAAAGTTCCGAGGAATGGAGAAGTCAAATCGGTGGTTTGTGCAGCGAAATGGGGAGAAACACAAGCGTGGGGCCCGGCAGGACCTTGGACTGCAGCCGAGGGTCTGGGTTTGAGATTTATTTCAGAAAAGGAGGCCCTTTTCGTGTGGAATGGGGTGGTGGGGGAGAGGCATGTCTCTCTGATGGCTACATTTGTTTCCTCTCTGAAGCTCACTTGTGAGCCGAGAACAGCCCACATCTTGTTTACCCGGGGCCCCTGGCAGCCCGCGTGGTGCCTGGCACAGAGCAGGCCCATGCCAATGTTCTTGACTTTGTATTATTTTCCCAAATGGGAATGTATCTTTATCACAAATGTTTACTGAATTGAATTGTCACAGCTGACGAAGAGCCCGGGCCAGCTGAGGTGGCCTGCGCGTGTGGGTGACACAGATGAGAGCAACACCCCCATGTGCACAGCACATGTTCCAGGATCGTTCTGTGTCCTCATCTTGTCCATCACGCGGGTAACACCCACCATGGGGCCCTGGCCCAGTTCCTGAGCCCTGACATGCGGGCTAGGGAACTTGCTCCCCTGCATGGATGAGAGATGCTCGCCGCAGCCCCGCCCTGAGCCCACTTACGGCAGGCTGCCCTACCCTTACCCTGGTACGCCATGCACGTCTCGATGACATCCAGGGTGGGCTCATCCTCGCAGAGGTCATAGGGCATGTTCCCATCAGAATTGACGGCAAGCAAGTCGGCCCCACTGCAGAGAAAGGCCCAGGATGAGTTCCTAGGGTTGGTCTGGCTGCCTCTACCCTCCAGCCTCTCATCCATAGCCCACCGTGCACCCCAACACCCACCAGCCCACCACAGTGCACCCCAGCAAGGATAGCATCTCTAGGATCTCAGGGGCCCCACGTGGCAAGGGGCAAGATCCCAGGAGTCTTCTCCTAGCCTCCTGTTCTGTTGAAGAACCAGCAGACAGGCACTTGAGGACAGATGTCAAATAAGAAAATACAACATGAAAATAATGCCACTTGCAGCAACATGGATGGATCTAGAGATGATCATACTAAGTGAAGTAAGTCAGACAGATTTAAAAGACAAATATCACATGGTATCACTTACATATGGAATCTAAAATATGATACAAATGCACTTATTCACAAAATAAACAGACTCACAGGCAAAGGTTACCAAAGGGGAAAGGGGGTGGGAGAGGGACACACGAGGAGTTTGAGATTAGCAGATACAAACTACTATATATAAAGCAGATAAACAACAAGGTCCTACTGTATAGCACAAGGAACTATATTCAAAATCTTGTAATAAACCATAATGGAAAAGAATATGAAAGAGAATATATATATGTGTGTGTGTGTGTGTGTGTGCATATATACATATATATATATATACATATATATATATATATAAAACTGAACCACTTTGCTGTACACCAGAAACTAACAGAACATTGTAAATCAACTACACTTCAGTAATAAATAAATAAATACATACATACATACGTAAATAAATAAGAAAACATTTAAAAGAAAATACAGCATTAACAGCAGGAGCACCGCTTACCAGGAATCTGCTTAGAGCCCTTTACACACATCATCTTATATAATCCTCGTAACAGTCTTCTTGGTTCCGTATTACTGGCCCCATCTCACTCAAGGAGAAACAAAGGCTCAGACAGGTTCAGTCACTTGTCTGAGGTCACACAGCTAAGATATGGGAAAGGGTCAAGACTCAAACCTGGCTCTTTCATGCGCCAGCTCTTTTCACTTCTCCCTGTCCTATTGCAGTCTTGGCCCATGTACTGAAACATCCTCGGCTATTCCCCACCTCCTCCTCTAAGTCCCTGCCCAAAAGGCTGGCCAGAACAGGGACAGGACAGAGCCTTGGGGCTCCGTGGCAGGATCTGCCTTTTGGGCCAGTGGCTCCCATGCATGGTCCTGGGATGCCCTGTGACAGAATTACTCAGGAACCACTGAAATAAAACGCAGCTTCCTGGGCTCCACTCTAGACCTCCTGAAACAGAGTCTCTCAGGAGTAGGGTGGAGGATTATGTATTTTCAACCCATGATTCTGGTACAGATCAGTGCTGGGGACCCTCTGTACTAGACTGACAGCACTCCCTTTTCCTCTCGCACCATCACTGATTGGACTGTGGCTACATGATGCTCCCGCAGACTTAGCCACACTCAGGCTCCCATCAGAGGTGCGGGCATGGGCCCACCTGCCAGTCCTTTGGCCTAACAGCCCTCCACTGTGACCTCTCTGAGCTCCTGTGTGCCCTTGGGCAAGCTAATCCACCTCTCTGAGCCAGGGCAGCAGTACTGTCATCTCCATCCCCCCAGCAGCCACCCAAAGGGCCCCTGCTGCTCTGCTGAAACCTCTGCCAAAGGTCACCAGCCCTCGGCCACCCTCCCTGACTCCCTGCCCTCAGATGCCCTCCTTGGCCTCCTGGGACCCCAACCCACTGGTCTCACTCTGTCTCAGCTCTGGTACTGTAATCGCCTGATTTCCTGCCTGGTTCTTCAGGACTTTTGCAGCCCTGAGTTCCCAGTGCTCAGCACTTGCTTGGCTTGGCTCAGCTCAAGTGGCCACCAATCATTAGATGAATTCAGTTAAATACACTTGAAATTGTGTATTTTCTATGTGTTTATAGAACCTGAGCAAACTAGAAAGAATTCCAGGGTGAGAGAAGACTGTCAGAGCGATATAGAGGGAAGTGGCCTTATTCCTGGGAAAGACATTGCTGCGTGATGTCCCCAAAGCAGATCTTGCCCCAAAGGAGAGCATATGGACAGGATCTGGGGGAGCAGGGCCGAGGAAGTATGTGTGCCTTTTTTCTACAGCAAGAAAAACAAAAATGGGAACAACACATAAGAGTAAAGGAGATGAATATAGACTGAAGGGGACAGACAGAGACAAAGAGATTTTATAAAAGAGAATGATACCCTGATACAAAGCCAGGCAAGGACACAAGAAAACTACAGACCGATATTCTTCATGAACATGGAAGCAAAATCCTCAAGAAAATACTAGCAAACTGAATTCAGCAGCATATTGAAAGGATTATACACCATGACCAAATGGGATTTATTCCTGTAGTGCAAAGATGGTCAGTTTCACATTAGGTGTATTTCACCACAAATATATGGGGAGGAACAAAGAGAATGAAAGGACAGAGAGGAAGAGGAAAAGAGAGGAAGACACGAGGATGGAAAGGGAATGTGAGGAGAAAGAGGAAGAGAGTGACAGGCACCAAAGGAGACAGGAAAAAAAAAGAGAAAGAGAAAATGAAAGTTACCCCCTTCCAAAAAAAAAAAAACTTGTAAAAATCCAAACTCTGAGAAAAGGCTATTCTCAGGGGAGAGAGGGGCACGTACTACTGAACGAGGATTTTCACCAGGTTGATGTGGCCGCAGGTGGCCGCAGCGTGCAGGGGCGTCCACAGCTCGTTGTCCTTGGCGTTCACGTTTGCACCGTGGGAGAGGAGCAACTTGACAATTTCCTCAAAGTTGTCGATGCAGCACTGCAAGGAGGCCACAGGCAGGGTCAGCTCCGGGCAGGGCCCCGGGTGGCGATGATGACACACCAAGTTCCCCCCGTGACACCACAAGAAGGACAGTGGAGCCAAACGACCTGAGTTTGAATCCAGCTGCATTATGTACAATGCTGTGTGGTCTTGGGTAAGCCACTCAAACTTCCTGAGCCTGTTTCTTGAGTTTATAATATACATGATAAAAATGTAAAGATAATATAAAGTCAGCTACGAAATGCTTTGCAAATATTGGTGGAATGGGACAAAACTTTGAATAAGGCTTTAAAATCCTTTCTTTTTAGTTTCAGAAGGCTTTCTTCAAATAAAATGGTATGGAGAACTTAGATAACCAATAAATTCAAGCAGGGCTGCTGGGGCTGAAGTAGGGGTGTGTGTTGGTGGGGGCGGGGATGGGGCGAGATCCCCCTCCCAGCAGTGGCCTCCTAGATCATAGTTTGAAGCCTCTGACTTAGGAATTTCTGACCCAGAAGGGGAGGTCCCAAGTAACCAAGCCTCCCCCAAAGAACCTGGCTCAGCATGAGGGCCCTAGGGCTCCTGGTGCAGTCCCTGCAAGGAGACAGTGTGCTCCTGCCTGTCCACACGTGGGTCAGCCCCAACGAGAACGCAGCCTCCCAGGGAGACTCAGGGCTCCGACAGCCACTGGAGCCCTGAGACTCCAGGGACAGAGAGTGAAAGATTCCACAGGGACAGAGGGGCTTCAAGCCAGGCCCATGAGCAGGGAGAAGGGAGGACAGAGGAGGAAGAAGACAGAAACCTACTTTACTGACTGTGGGATCCATCCCAGGTGACCCCCCCCCCCAGAAGCCAGCAGGGGACAGAGCAGGGACCCGTGCTAGGCCCTACCCATCCAGGGAAGCGCTTTGCCCTCAGTGCAATGGGAGATGCTGCAGAGTTATACTCAGAGGAGCAGCACAGTCAAACTTGCCTTTTAAAAAAAACCCTCCTCTAGCTGCACATGGAGAACGGATTGCAACTGCATGCTTTTAGGGGGGAGAAGAGGGAAAGTGAGGTGCTGTGTTGGAATCACTCATTTAAGAGATGATGGTGGCCCAGCCTACAGAAGTGACCGCAGGAATGGGGAGAAGTGACTGGATATCAGCAGGAGGAGCGGGGGCGCAGGAGCCCATGGCTCCAGCTGGGTGTGGGGATGGGGATGGGGCGGTACCACAGCCCCCACCCCACTGCTCAGCAGAACCGGGGGCTCAGCGCCAGAAAGACATGTGGGAAAGGAGTAGCCATTTGCATGCAGATGGTGCCAGAGACCTAGGTTCTCTTTCTGAAGCAGCCCATCTGGGGTTGGTTGGGTCTGGGGACATCTCTCTGGACAGGAGGGGCACGCGGGACCAGTGGAGCAGGGCACTGCCTCAGGTGGGTGGGAGAACCATGCAGTGGCACGGCACAGTCAGCAGGGGGCACCAAAGGCACCAGAGTGAAGCAGCGGGGAAAGGTGAGGGTTCCTGGGCTGTCCCTGGGAGATGGGTTTGAGATGGCCCTGTCCATAGGAGGAGGAGCTGCCCAGCACCTGGATCAGGGGATAGGAGGGCTAGAGATCCCACCCTGAGGGGCTGCGGAAAACATGAGGATAGGCGGGGGCAGGGAATGGGAAGATTATGCACCCAGAATTGTAGACCTGAAGAGGGACGCCCAGGGCCTGGGCCAGTCTGTACCTGGGAGACGAGGCTGGAGCAAGAGCTGGGTTAGGAGCTGGGTGCAGGAGTGCAATGGTGGGTGGTACGTGGTGGAGCGAGTTGGCCTCCTCTCCTGCCTTCCCCAAGGTGGGCAACGGCACCTGGCAGTTGGATGACTCCTCCCGCCCCCTCACCTCCCACATCCAATCTATCACCAGGTGGGGGTTCCATCTCCTGCATCACTGTCCCCATCCCCATGGCCCTGGTTGAGGCTTCATCCTCTCTCCCTGCCTCCCTGTCACTCCCCTTCCTCACACCCTCTGTCAGAGACAGCCTCCTCCTTAATCCAGCCATGCTGCTCTCAGATTGCAGACCTCTCAAGTTTGCCTGTTGCCAAGAGCAGAAAATCCACAGAAAGCTCTTCTTACTGCGCTCCTTCGCTGTGTTGCAGCAGCAGTGACGATAACAAAGACTGCAGTAACAGCAGCCCCGGCAACAGCAGTAATAATAACATGCCACGTTATCAGTAATCACAGCTAGTGCTTTTTGAGGCGTTACTGGGTTGCTAACCTTCGGCCATGCATTGCCTCTTTTAATCCCCAGAACAACATTTCCAGGGCTCCATAGCCACGTGGGGCTCAATGTCTCATACTGGACAGTGTCGATACACAGAACATTCCATCATCGTAAAAGTTCTATCGGACAGTGCTACCCTGAACCTCAGTTTCTTGAGCTGTAAAATGGGGATAATCATATTTTAAAGGGGTGTGACAATCAACTCACACTTTACATCAATGAAGTGGCTTTGCAGGGTGGAACATGTGACAAATTTTAATACTAAGAATATGTAATATTTATCCAATGTCGTGATGCTTGTAGGGTTTCTACATGTATTCATATAATCCTCACAACAACCTAATGGGCAAGTGAGGCCCAGAGAGCTTAAGTAACTTGCCCAGGGTCACACAGCTAAAATTAGCAGATGCATGAAGCCCTGTGGGACAGGAAGAGAAACCAAGAGTACACACAGGGAGCCACTGGGCTGATGACTGAGGGTGGGGACTCGCCCCTGGCGCTTATGGGTAGGCCAGTCTCTGTCCCCACTTCCCGCTCTCACAGCAAGATAGAGAGGCTCCTGCCAGCCCAGCATTCCCATAGCCTGGCCTCCTGTCCACCAGGCTGCATTCAAGTCCACCCGCTCAAAAACTTGGGCCAGGGCACAGGGAAGTTCAGTGTGTTCACTCATTAACTCAGCACGCACACTTTGAGCACCTACTGTATGCCAGCATGGGGACTGACGCTGGGATACACCAACGAGTAAGAGACACAGGCTCTGCCCTCATGCAGCCCAGAGATCAACATCAAATGATCAGGCTAATGGCTAAGAGGACAGAGGGGTGCTCAGCAGAAAGGCCGTGGATATACCAGCACAGCTCTCAGGCTCTTGTACGCGCGCACCCAGCGTTACGGGAAGACACCAGAGCACTCTGAGTAAGGGTAACGCCAGCAGATGTGGGCCTCGGCATCCCTGCAGCCACTGCATGGAGAATGGATCACGACAGGGTCACCTGAGTGCTGGGGACAAGTTGGGGGCTGTCACAGCATCTGCGCAAGAGATGACAGGCAAAGTAGCCCCTCCCAGCCAAGGGGGACTGGGCCCACCTCGCTGCCCTAAAAAGGATGTATGTTATGACAGCACATGGTTCCTGGCCGTAGGTCACAGCTGTGTGACCTTAGGCAGGTCACATCCCCAACTCCCCACCCTGTCAATCACTTTTGTCACTGGGATGGGTGGATGCCTTGGTGGGTGTAAACACAAGTGCCTCGTAAACTGTCAAGCTCCAAACAAACTTGCTTTGTTTGCCAAACCCTTTGCCAGGCAGTGAAGATGCAGTGGACAAAGGCTCCCTGTCCTCAGAGGCTGTGAGTGCCGCCCGCGTGTGGGCACGGGGGCTCCGTGGGTGTGTCCGTAACCGACACCCTCCTCTCAGAAGCAGACAAGAGCCTTTCAGACGGGGCAGCTGCGGCTCCCCTCCCCCCTCCTCCCTGAAAGCTCTGGGCAGGAAACAGCAGGGAGATGGGGCACCTGTCCAGGGGGAAAGCCCGGAGCCAGAGGCCCCAGGGAGCCTGGCCTTACCTGGTGCAGGGCTGTGAGTCCATCCTCGTTGCACAAATCAGGGCTGACCTTATTCTTCAGGAAGTAGCGCACTGCAACAGAGGGAACAGGAGTGAGTGTCCCTTCACACACCGGGTATACAGTGATGCCAGGGACCCAGATAAGACCCACTCTCCCCCAGGTCCTAACATGAGCAGTCATGTTTACTCCTTACAACAGGCATGAGAGGTAAGTATCAACACCACCCCATTTCACAGATGAGGAAACTGAGGCACAGATCGCCGATCTCTGGTCCAGGATTTCCAAGGGGTGGATGGCACTGCCTGACTTATTCTGCACAATAAGAACAGGAGCTAACTTTTTCTGAGCACTTCCTGTATGTCAGGCACAGAGCAAAGCAGTTTATATTTGCTATCCAGAAGGAGCACATTCTAGTCACTGAAAGCAGACACTCTGGTGTCTGATGGCCTGGATTCCAATTTCACCGCCATTCTTATTGGCTGTGCAACTTCAGTCAAGACACTTCCCTCTCTGTGCCTTAGTTCTCTATTCTGTAAAATGGGGATGGTGTTAATCCTACCTCACAGGGGCATCACGTGGAGTAACTGCGGTGAGCTGTGGCCAGGGCTTGGTGCGGCGTCTGGCCCGTGGTTTGAACATGAGTTCTTATTATGGAGGCTGTTACCATTTTTATTAACACTGCAGGTCCCTGGACCAGGTATTAGCCCACTCACAACTGCCAAATGCCCCTTCTTGGGCCCCACTGAGCCTTGGGGGCCAGGGATAGCAGGGGCTTTAACTCCCCTCCTTCCCTAGACCTTTATCTAGCTGTGTGTGTGTGTGTGTGCGCGTGTGTGTGCTTTCAGGGATGGTGGGTAGGGCAGGGAACTGGGGATGAGGGAGGCCAAAGTGAACTCCACCCACAGCCTCGAATCTCTCTTGCTTAGGACCATGCCCCTCCCCTTACTACTGGGATCCTCCCTCCTTTTCCATCCCTCCCCACCCATTAAGGTCCCAGTTCTCATCCTGAACCCACGTGCAAAGGGAAGGACAGTGGGTCAGCACGCACATAGTGTACAACATCAATTGTACCAATGTATTCAAGTCCACCTGATCAGAAACTTGGGCCAGGGCAAAGGGAGGCTTCTGTGTGTTCATTCCTTCATTAAATCAGCGTGCACATATTAAGCACCTACTGTGTGTCCGCATGGGGAACAATGCTGGGATACACCAATGAGCAAGAGACATGGATTCTGCTCTCGGTCAGCTCAGAGTCTGGGTAGCAGGAGACCAACATCAAATGAACTAGCCCACTGGCCCATAAGGTCCCTTCCCAGTCTTGGCAGCTGGAACCCTTGCCATGGCCTCCCAGCTTCAGGATACCCATCTCTGCACTGCCTCCAGCTATACCTCCCCCACAGAGCAAACAGTCCAGGTAGCCAATGGAATGAGTCCACTGAAGCCCATGGTTCCCGTCTGGCCCACCTGACCCTTCCCTGTCCAGTGGCTCCAAGCCTGAATGCAGAATCTGCAAAGATCTCCTCCCCAGATCCAGCCTCCCCAGGTGGGCCATGCAGGGAGCAAGCATGCCTCCAGGCTGAAGAGGGGACTGAGGGGTGGCTGTTTGCTGAGCAATTAGATGAACTTGGATACACAAGCTGGCTTGTGCGTGAGACCCTTGTGATGCTGAGGAAGGCAGCGATGGAGGCCTGGGTCCTGTAGATGGGAGGTGCAGGCTGGCCTTGCCCCCCTCAGCCCCTCCCACACCCACCCAGTTTGGCTCCCTCCAAAACACGAACCAAAGTCCACATCCCCTGATGCCCATGGCGGGCACCATCTCCACACTACGGCCCACCACCCACGCAAGGGGGCGGCGCACATGGGCGTCCTGACTGATTTGCCTCTGCTGTGGGGGAACAAACTCTACTGAGCTGTGAAGGACAGAGGGCATGCCATCCATTCCGCAGGCTGAATAGCTGCTCAGCAACCCCAGGGGTGCCAGGGAAGAAGCCGAGGTCTCAGGAGCAGCCGGGATGGGGCGGTTCCCCAGCTTGTCCTCATCAGTCCCAGCTCCAGGACCCACAGCCCTGGTGGCACCCTTGGCCTGAGTGTGAATGGAGACTCCGGTGAAGGGGAGGTTGAGGCCTCCACTCAGGCTCCTGACAAGAGGTGCCAGCTCCAGCAGACTTGCCCAAGATGCACTCACGGCTGCTGGGGGCCAGAGTGACAGGAGTTTACACGGGATATAGTCAGGTCCTCTGGAGATGCTCTGTCCAATACAGACCCACTAGCCCCATCCAGCTCTTACAGCTTTTCAAATGTCAGTTCATAAAAATTCAAAACTCACCTCCTCAGTCACTCTGGCCACATTTCAAGTGCTCAACAGCCATGCATGGCTACCATATTAGAAAGAGCAGAAACAGGACATTTCAATCTTCACAGAAAGTTCTATTGAACTGCTCTACTTTAGGGAATTATACGTGGAAATTAGTCCCATCACCAATTGCCGAAACCTCTCCATGGCTCCTGATTGCTTGGGAGCAAAAGTCCAAAACTCTTACTATGGCAGAGAACATCTACATAACGTGTTCCCGGCCTCCAGGCCTCCATCCTGCACAATCCCAGGGGACCATTCACACGGCGGTCTGTGAGAGGCCGAGCAGTGCACAACTTGCTCAGCTGTACTCAGTGCTCCTAACCTACCTACCTCCCCAGTCGCAGGTCTTAAACTCCAAACACCTCCCACAACGGTCTTTTGTCAGCTACAGAGTCACCATATTTCCTTTGGCCTCTGAGCTTTAGCACAGCCTGTTCCCACTGCCTGGAAGACTCAATCATCCACCCATGCACCAACCCATCCATGCATCCAGCCATCCACCATCCAGCCATCCACCCTCATCCATGCATCCCCCCATCCACCATCCACTCATCCACCTGCATCCAAGTATCCAACACTAACACACACACCCCTCACTCCTCATCCTTTACCTCTCAGCCCAAACTCCTCAGATGAAGGCATTGTAAGCTCAGTTTCTACACATCTCATTTACAGCCTTATCACAATCATAATTACATAACTACTTGAGTAATTATGGGCTTTGGGTTTGTCTGCTATAAGACACTAAACCCCGAGGGCAGGACAGTGACCTGACACTTACTGCTCTTTCCATGGGGCCTGGCACACAGTAAGTAAATCCTCAACAACCCTTCCAGGACCCAGACCTAACTGGCAGCCCCCTAGCTCAGTCCAAGGACACAGCCTCTCCATCTCTGAGCAAAGCAATCTACCCTGTAGTGCTGACCCCGCCAGCTCGAGTTAGAATATGCAGTGTTGCCAATAGGTTCCTCCTACCAGGATGACCTGGTAGCTGGTCTCAGCCTCAGGACCATGTGAGAAGTCTATAGCGAAGCCACTGATTACTGAGGCCAGCCTGTCCACAGACCAGGGTTCAAATTCTGTGGGGGTGGGTGGTGGACCAGGCTTCCTGCCCAGGAGACACTCTTTGAGGCAGAAATTAAGCGTCAGCTGCCAACAGCAGCCTTTGTGTGCAGTAATTATTGGGGTGTTCTCCCAGTGGCACGCAAGCCTAAAACATATAATTACTCCAATATCGGGCAGTTATTTTCAGCCCAAGAGGTGGGACAAGTCATCCTCGTCTCTAAGGAGCCCTTAATAGCCATGAGCCAAGGCCCCGTCCGTGGTTCTACTTGCGCTTTCTCTGGGAGCCTGGCTCTGGACACAACTCATCGGAGCAAAGACCCCAACACCCAGTGCACAGCCAGGCTATCCTGCCTCCGGGGTTCAGCAAGAAAAATGATCCTTCTACCAACAGTGTCTTCTCACTGAGCTCGTCCTATGTGCCCAGGTCAACGCTGAACCACTTCTCTTTCATGTGTTCATGTCTAATTACTCCTCTTATGGAGAAGAGGAGATAGAGGGTCAGGGAAGTGCAGCTCAGAGCGAAATGCCACCGAGTGGAAGAAATCACACACCCCCAGCCCCTCCTTTGAAATCCTTCTGACTTCAAAGCCCAGGCTCTTGGCCCCAGGGCTGCTCCGCTCTGCCTCTGAGACCAGAAATGGAGACCAGCATTGCTGGAGCCCTGCTGGGGTGGGAAGGAGGGGGATGGGAGAGTGGACAGAGCGACCTCTGCTCTGTAAGCATCAGAGGCCCTCAGGTCCCAGGCCAAGCCTCTTCTTGTAGACCAAAGAGCTCAGGGATCCACAACCAGGACACAAAAAACATGGCAGCCCCAGAGGAACACAGTCAGACATCTCAACGGCCAAGTTCAATGTTAAGTTGCCTCTTCCCACTCCCTACTTAAAACTCTCTTGTAGTTCCAACTTGTTCTTAGAATAGAGTTCAAAACCCTTCCTTGGCCACTACTGGGGTCAGCAAACTATGGTCCCTGGACCATATCTGGCAGGCAGCCTATTTCTGTAAATTAAGTTTTCCTGAAACATGCCTGCACTCATGCATTTACATAATGCCTGTGACTGCTTACACCCCACGCCACCAGAGTCAGGTCGTGACAGCAGAGGCAGTACGGCCCACACAGCCTAAAATATTTGCTATCTGGCCCTTTCCAAAAAAGATTTGATGACCTTGGTCTTCACAGTCCTGCACGATGTGGTCCTGACTACAGGGTTACCACCCAGCACAATTCCAGGGGACACTGTTCTCATCAGTCTATGGGGATAGCTTGCTCTGGAGTTGTGCAGTGTGCAGCCTGCTCAGCCCTACCCAGCAGTCCTGTCTCCAGAGCTGTCCAGGCTCCCCTCTGGCTCTCTGAGTGCCTTACACAATGGAGGTAGCTGGCTTGGGGGTATGTAAGGGGTTGGCCGGGGCTCAGGGAGGACAAAGACCAGAAGGGCATGCTCTCCTCTTTAGCTGGGCAAGTCCACCACATCAGCCTCAGGTCAGCTCCCACCCCAACACCAGGCTTGGCCATCAGTTTGTCCAAGTGACCTATCTGTCCTCCCACATTTGTTTAAATGTGGCTTTAGGGGAAGTTAATTCCTTCTCTCTGTGCCTCGGCATCCTCATCTGTAAAATAGGGATCAAAACAGCATCTTCTTTGTGGGGATGCTG